CCAAACTATATTAGCGATATATCAGTTGTTAAAATACCAACATACTATCTAAATGGAATTACTGTTTTGTAACATTTTCATGCTGATAGGCAAGTCCTTGGATCCAGAAGTGTGGTGTTTTGTTTGTTTGCACTCAACAATATTCCATCTATATAACTGCGTTGAAGTGGGGTGTAGGTAGACTAATGCTTAGTCTCAGAAAATATATAATTTTGATAGAAATAGTGGCATCGTATCATCATCTGTGACGATAACAACTTTATTTCATATATTGTACATTTATTGTTTTGATGTTAGAAACATTGTTTTTAAAGTGCTCTGGGATATGATAATATGGATGATGGATGATTATAACACTTTATGATTTTCAGAGAAATGATGACAGTGTTGTAAATTCTAAATGACCCTACATCTTAGTATATATTTTTAATTTAACATGTAACATGTTTTACACTGGATAAGATTGTCTTCAAACTTGTCTCACAGTAACCATAACATGGGCGGATACAGAGGGGGGTGCGCCCCCCCCCCCCCCCCTTTTTTATTTCGAAAAATATCCTTATTTCTGTATAAATTACCACCAAAGACATTAAATAGATCTTAATTTTGCAACCCCCCTTTTCAAAAAGCTGTATCCGCCCATGCATAACATTGTTACAAAATTTTAAGAAATCATGTTTTTTATTCCCCACTTTTTAAAAATCACCATTGCTATATTCAGTGAATGAGTTTGGTATGCAGCTGTCAAAAATACTGACTGAACACTATGTATGCATACTTAACAGTAACAGTCTCTAGATTTTCACTAGTCTTGGGCTAACAGACCATGTGTTACCCTTCAATGCCCTGCAGGTGTTTGCTAAAAGGGTGATCATGTCTTGCTCTACCAGTAGCACCAGCCATTCGCTTATGTTGCATAACAAACTGTTTGTTGCCTAAAGCCGCAACCCAGCACTACTCCTGCCATACAATGGTGGCCCGTAAACATGCGACACAATCAAGTGTCAGTGGCGGATACAGGGGAAGAGGGGATTCTGGGTGGTCAGTCCCCTTTTTTATGTCAAACACACACACTGAAAAAGTTACCTACTATGATAACATGTTTTGGTCGTACGTAAACAAATTGATAATGGTTTTCATTTCGTGTTTGTGAATTAATTTATATCATTATCATTTTTGCGATTTCTCTGCGTGCCCCCCCCCCCCCCCCCCCCCCCCCACACACACACATAATTTAAATCCTGGATCTGTCCCTGAGCACAGCATACATACTTAATACTGAGGAAGTATGATTTTTCTCTATGGTTATACAGTCTATTTTCTAATATATGATTGTGGCAGGTAAACAATGTGACCAAAAAAGAAATGTAGTCATCAAAAACTACAAATTGTTTTGCAGTCAATCCCATTTCCATTTAACAAATTCAGGGATTTCTCCTGTTTTGAATATCAATAATGCAGTTATAATCTGAAAAGGAACTACAATAATTGATCATTAAGTGATGAATATTAAAATCATTTCAAGTGAACCAGTACATCTTAACCAGAAATATTTGTTCCCATGAGGTCAAAATTTACTGCCTTCCATTTATGTAGGGTTTGTGTTGCTTTTATTGGGATAATCTCATTGCAGTGAGCATTCATTGTGAAATGTTGTATTAAATGCTGTATACAGCTCACGGGGCAGGTATCACTTCAGTCATGGGACAGGTCAAGCAATGTGACCTGGGGAATATTCACATGTGATATGGAATACGACTGCCAACTTTAGTTACACACCTGTGTGATAATGTACTGTCGGCTGATAGACAACTTTCCTCAGTCATTGTCATGCCAATACAACATGTTTGTTTGTATAATGCCCAACAAGGGAATAATGAAATGACAGTTCAAATGTAAATGATACATACCGGAACCAATTATATATTCTATATATGGACAATAATGATGTTCAGATTGTATGTGAGGCTGTAAACAGGTATGGAGGATATTGGTTTTCAATGATATATATATATATATATATATATATATATATATATATATATATATATATACCGTATTCGACGTAATAAGCGCCCACTGCGATATTTGCTATTATATTCGCTAGTGAACAATCCCAATTAGCACCCTTCCGATTGATCAATGTTCACAAGACTTATTTATTTGTGTATAATGCGCACTCGTGGGTTATATGCAACCTTAATTACGGGCAATTAAATTCTGGAAAAACATATCTGTCGTGTATAATACGCACAGACTTTTCTTTTGTATCATTTCAGGCTGTCAGCATAAACCACAGAATTTACAATCTTCCAACTCTTTCACCAAAATTATATTCTAATAAGAGCCCCCTATTTCTAATTTCGTCGAATACGGTATATCAATATACAGATAAGTTCCAATGTTGGAAAAAGTAGTTAGGGGAAGCATAGCAGTATTTCCTCGAGTGGACTGGTAACGTGAAGTCACCACAGTGAGGAACGGTGGGGTAGCCTAGTGGTGTTCATGTGGTGTTTGATTGTCAGTTGGGTTCAATTCACTACAGGGGCGGTGGGGTAGCCTAGTGGTGTTCATGTGGTGTTTGATTGTCAGTTGGGTTCAATTCACTACAGGAACGGTGGGGTAGCCTAGTGGTGTTCATGTGGTGTTTGATTGTCAGTTGGGTTCAATTCACTACAGGGGCGGTGGGGTAGCCTAGTGGTGTTCATGTGGTGTTTGATTGTCAGTTGGGTTCAATTCACTATAGGGGCAGTAGTCTAGTAGGTAAAGCTTTCTCTCTTCACGTCAAAGACCCGGGTTCAAATCCCCACATAGGTACAGTGCGTGAAGACCATTTCTGGTATCCCCCATTGGCATTAAGGGGATAAAACAAGGACTGGTCATCTCGGTGAATGCATACTGTTGTAGAATGTAGAGTATTGCTGTCTGTGCAGTCAAACAGCATTCACTCACTTCTACTGTCTAACTCTAGTCCCGATCAGCCGTTCGTTATAATATCGCTGTGAAATTGCAGAATATTGCTAAAAGCGACTTAAAATCCTATTCACTCACTCAGTTCACTACATGGTTACAATGTGTGAAGCCCATTTCTGGTGTCTCTCGCTGTGAAATTGCTGGAATATTTCTGGATTACACAATGCTCACTGGATTGTTATGTTATGGTGGTCAGACGAGTAGGTATATAGAAACATAAAAGCTAAACAAGCAGTGCTCATTGACAAAATCAGTGGTTGAAATTTGCTGTGTTATCAAGAAGGCATTGGGAGTTGTGTTAGTGTGGAATGTTTACATACAGTTCTTACACCTATATCTGGACTCGCATATCAGCTCAAGCCACGAGGTCACTTTCAAGTAGGTGACTTTGCAAATAATGACTGTGCTTAGCATGTGCCAAGAGAAGAGAGCAATCAATATGGTTATGATAGGAATAGGAATATATTTGGGTCATATTTACATATAAACAACCAAAGACAACACATTTTCAGTAAATATTTTAATGCAGTGATCATGGTAATTTTGCCTGACACATATGACATAAAGACATAAAGACCCCTCAGAGTTTGTAGTCTAAATTAAAGGACAATCGTCTATATCATTACCCCATTTGAAATTTTTTATCACTAGCCATGTCACTATCATAGATTCTGAATGAAACCCTGTAAAGCATCTAGCTTGTGAAGGCTGGCACAAAAACAACACTTTACTGTGGAGGGATTCATAGCAAGTATTAGTTGATGCCAGATCTTAAAAGCATCTGGTACTGAAGCTGTAGCCAAGGTTCATACAGGCTTGAAAATAACTTCTTTGAGTGGCATTTAGAAGTTGGAATGGTAACTAAGACAAAATTGTTATGGATGAGCAACCTCTTTATTACAATTAGGGCGACGTTTCGGTGTAGATTCTAACACCGTTATCAAGCAAATGATCTAGGCTTGAAAATGCCTTGAATTTTTAGGTACCGTCATTTTCAGTGTCAACATTGAAAAGCTTTAAAAATATTAAAAGCATCACAAAAACTCCTGATAAGCCTTGAATTTGTACAAAATGATGTTTACTTGTTAATAATAGCATTAAAATTACAACAGACTTAATTAATTTTATTTGTTTGAAAATAAATGATATTCATACTGCCTTATAGGTCTTACAAGACAGACAAAGGCTAACAAGAGTTTGCCACTAACGTGGCTATATCCCCCGCCCCTGTTGCAGAATTTATGACATAATCAAATCTAAACAAACCCTAACCTTTTTTAACCGAGGTGGAACTTGTCATGGAAATTGTAAAAAAAGAAGAGTTTGGAACCTAAGTCCATCTTGTTGCCATGGAAACGTAAAAAATAAAAATGTCTAAAATTTCTAAATAGCAAAAGGCACCAGTTCAGCATGTACCTGACAAACCTGCCAATTCATGAAAAAATATTGATAGGTTGATGAGTTATGCTCCGGAAACGAACCCTACCCTCACAGAACCATCTTGTCCATCTTGTTGCCATGGAAACGTAAAAAATAAAAATTTCTAAAATGAGTAATTCATATATCATGAGTGGGGTGACCATGGTCTTTAACCTGTGAACATATATTCAATATTTACTGGGCAATAAGGGAGTTATCAACTCCAAGTGTATATATGTGGCAATTGATCCAACCCGGACACATGTGACAGATCAGCTGACTAGTAGCTATAGGACATGACTATCAGTGTCAGTCCCCATGAGCAGCCACCAATACAGGACGTGCTATCTCAAGCACACATACCTTGGATATCATTAAGTGCTTTCATCATGATAGATTTTAGCAAGGTATGAACTAACATTTCAGGTTGGGGCACTTTGAAGTTGAAGTACTAAGTAAGGATAAAATATATGGATGAACATCTTCTTTATTACAATTAGGAGCAGCACTTGCTTGATAACGGCGTTAGACCCTATACCAAAATAATTCGGAAGTTGTTCCTCCATATATCTTATCCTTACTTAACATTTCAGGGAAAGATTTTTGTTGTGAATATATATATTTGACTTGTTCAATGCTTTTTCAGAGTAACCTGGCCCTATACATGTCTGTAGAACTGCTAGTCTAATTAGTTTCAATTTCCTGGTGCAATGTTAATCAATCATGTGCCGGAGCTTGATACAGGGTCATGACTAAGTATAGAGCACAACCACGTAGTTCCTCATTTCATTTTACCACCATGACACAGGTCACATCTCTGCAAGGAATGGCGAACCCTTTTCTTACTTTTTTATTTATCTTTTTTATTTTGTTCACTTTACTACAGACTTATAAATTAATGATATCCAGAAACATCCAGAAGACTTGACATGTGTAGCCCAGTCTACAGTAACCCCTGTACAAATGGAAGATAACACGTGCAGCTACAACAAATGTATGTTACTCAAGTTTATGGACTAAGTAACAGTATGGATTATTATGTCAAGATTGATAGGTATATTTTGGTTCAGTCTTTCTCATTCTCTACATTCCCAACCTTGAAACAGGAAATCACTTTCAGCTACTTGCAACTCAGGTGCTGAAAAAAGCATGAATATATTTAATGCAGTTTGGGCTAAATCATACTGTCAGCGTAGATGTCAGCGACATCCACATGGAATAAATATTGCTAGTGTAAATTTGTTGGAAAAAAATTCCATGTGAAAACTGTTCCATGGGAATTATTCCTCTAGTGAAATACAGGGAAAAAGAACAATTTCACTACAGGACTTGTTGACATTGGGTGACACTATTAGTGAGATAGTGTGGGGTTTCCCACCAGTCGCTGTTCCATGAGCAGGAACTTATTTCTCACATCTTGATGAGGGTTTATACAGTCCAGGCAGGTTTTGGTTTCATATAGTTTGTGCTTCGACACACTTTCACTATCTGTAATCATGGCTGAGAAGGTAATGTGTATTGGGTACTTTATTTGTGAGTTGGATTGGAAAGTTGGATTCAAGAGTTTTGTCATTAGTTAAATGACCTGGGGACTTGTCTTTGTTTCAACTGGGCCACATATATATGTTCATTGCTACAGATGTATCCATCTTGTGTAAACAATATGTATTACGTTTACCAGTAACTTGGCCTGATAACAGCTGAAACCAAGAAACAATGCTAAATCTGGTTGCATTTAATTATTATATTAACCAAAATTAACCCAAACACTTTGATATCAACAGTCTCTTGGAACATGGATAATTTCATGCATTAATGGCTCAAATTGATTATTACAATACCGGTATGTATCATTCAAGTATAGATATATGAGGTTAGTGATACACCCCTAAATACAGCTTCTAATGTGTGTGTGTTGTATACATCATGGTGTGTACACCAGGGACAGGTTTCAAATAACAGAATAGTGACAATAATATTGACTTGCCACCCTATGATGTGTTTTGTTATTCCACCCCATAATATAAGTTGTAACAGGATCACAAGGGGTACAGGGTTTTTTATGCATCCTGTGTTAGGTTTTATACGAGCCAGACAAATAGATCTTATGACATTGTTAAAGAATTAACCCAATTTCCAAATTGATAGAAAGCAGCTGTTGATTGAGCAGCAATGTATGTCACATGACTTTCATTGACTCGGAAAAAGCGTGCAGCTTTTTACTTTTAAGCAGGGTATAAGGGTTTTGTTTTGCCTCTCAGAAATCCATGAGCTGCCTGTATTGCTTGTGGCTGGGTATAAGAGATTTATTCCCCCACTGAGAAATTTATTACCATCCAAGGTGGGCTACACAGTATTTCATCAGGATCTCTTGGACAAATCAGATCTCATCATTCTGAAATGAGGCATGATAATGTGTTTTGTTATTCCACCTGATGCTGTGTTTTGATATCTTCCACCCTACTAAATGTTTTGTTTATTCCACCCTATAATTTGTTGTGTTATTCCACCCTATAATGTGTTTTGTTACTCAACCCTATAATGTGTTTTGTTACTCAACCCTATAATGTGTTTTGTTACTCAACCCTATAATGTGTTTTGTTATTCCACCCTATGATGTGTTTTGTTACTCAACCCTATAATGTTTTTTGTTATTCCACCCAATAATGTGTTTTGTTACTCAACCCTATAATGTGTTTTGTTATTCCACCCTATAATGTGTTTTGTTATTCCACCCTATAACATGTATAATGTGTTTTGTTATTCCACCCTATGATGTGTTTTGTTATTCCACCCTATGATGCGTTTGTTCTATTTCAGTGTCCCCTGCCACAGGTTCGTGTGCAGAATCCTGTGACCCACCACACCTGGGATGAGGGGCGATACACCACATATGACATCACTATACAGGTACACCTCAGATGCTTCATGTCAACAGCATTATCAAGCTGTTTTGTGGTCGCATTGGATAAAGCATTATGAGGAACCTTTCTGGTTGCAAAAATTAGATTTGGATATTATTAAGTATGAATGAATCATGGCAATTACATGAGCCCTTCCATTACTTCAGAGCTGATCTTTATCAAAAATAATTTTTGAATACCTGTTATATAAATAATTCTATAACTTAAAAAATGCATTTGTGTAGGACTTTTCATACTCGACTCTACATTCTGTTGTGTTGTGCAAAAGTGCCCTGTATGTGTGACTTGTGCTTGCAGACTGCTCATAAGGCCTTCAGTCTACCCCATACCTCTGTGAGACGCAGATTCTCCGAGTTTGATTGGCTCAGGAAACAGTTGAAGACACACCACCCCATCAGGTGAGTTCACGATGGATTCTTTATCACTTCAGTGGGACATAGTTCACAGGGAGGCTACATCACTTCTGTGGGACATTCACTTTAGGTCAGTTCACAGGGAGGCTACATCACTTCTGTGGGACATCCTACTTTAGGTCAGTTCACAGGGAGGCTACATCACTTCTGTGGGACATAGCTCCTTTAGGTCAGTTCACAGGGAGGCTACATCACTTCAGTGGGACATCCTACTTCAGGTCAGTTCACAGGGAGGCTACATCACTTCTGTGGGACATTCACTTTAGGTCAGTTCACACAGAGGCTACATCACTTCTGTGGGACATCCTACTTTAGGTCAGTTCACAGGGAGGCTACATCACTTCTGTGGGACATAGTTCCTTTATGTCAGTTCACAGGGAGGCTACATCACTTCTGTGGGACATAGCTCCTTTAGGTCAGTTCACAGGGAGGCTACATCACTTCTGTGGGACATCCTACTTCAGGTCAGTTCACACGGAGGCTACATCACTTCAGTGGGACATAGCTCCTTTAGGTCAGTTCACAGGGAGGCTACATCACTTCTGTGGGACATAGCTCCTTTAGGTCAGTTCACAGGGAGGCTACATCACTTCTGTGGGACATCACAGGGAGGCTACATCACTTCTGTGGGACATAGTTCCTTTATGTCAGTTCACAGGGAGGCTACATCACTTCTGTGGGACATAGCTCCTTTAGGTCAGTTCACAGGGAGGCTACATCACTTCTGTGGGACATCACAGGGAGGCTACATCACTTCTGTGGGACATAGTTCCTTTAGGTCAGTTCACAGGGAGGCTACATCACTTCTGTGGGACATAGCTCCTTTAGGTCAGTTCACAGGGAGGCTACATCACTTCTGTGGGACATCACAGGGAGGCTACATCACTTCTGTGGGACATAGTTCCTTTAGGTCAGTTCACAGGGAGGCTACATCACTTATGTGGGACATAGCTCCTTTAGGTCAGTTCACAGGGAGGCTACATCACTTCTGTGGGACATCCTACTTTAGGTCATTTCACAGGGAGGCTACATCACTTCTGTGGGACATCCTACTTTAGGTCAGTTCACAGGGAGGCTACATCAGTTCACAGGGAGGCTACATCACTTCTGTGGGACATAGCTCCTTTAGGTCAGTTCACAAGGAGGCTACATCACTTCTGTGGGACAAAGCTCCTTTAGGTCAGTTCACAGGGAGGCTACATCACTTCTGTGGGACATCCTACTTTAGGTCAGTTCACACAGAGGCTACATCACTTCAGTGGGACATCCTACTTTAGATCAGTTCACAGGGAGGCTACATCACTTCTGTGGGACATCACAGGGAGGCTACATCACTTCTGTGGGACATCCTACTTTAGGTCAGTTCACAGGGAGGCTACATCAGTTCACAGGGAGGCTACATCACTTCTGTGGGACATCCTACTTTAGGTCAGTTCCCAGGGAGGCTACATCACTTTTGTGGGACATAGCTCTTTTAGGTCAGTTCACAGGGAAGCTACATCACTTCTGTGGGACATTCACTTTAGGTCAGTTCACAGGGAGGCTACATCACTTCAGTGGGACATCCTTCTTCAGGTCAGTTCACAGGGAGGCTACATCACTTCTGTGGGACATTCACTTTAGGTCAGTTCACAGGGAGGCTACATCACTTATGTGGGACAGAGCTCCTTTAGGTCAGTTCACAGGGAGGCTACATCACTTCTGTGGGACATCCTACTTTAGGTCATTTCACAGGGAGGCTACATCACTTCTGTGGGACATCCTACTTTAGGTCAGTTCACAGGGAGGCTACATCAGTTCACAGGGAGGCTACATCACTTCTGTGGGACATAGCTCCTTTAGGTCAGTTCACAAGGAGGCTACATCACTTCTGTGGGACAAAGCTCCTTTAGGTCAGTTCACAGGGAAGCTACATCACTTCTGTGGGACATCCTACTTTAGGTCAGTTCACACAGAGGCTACATCACTTCAGTGGGACATCCTACTTTAGATCAGTTCACAGGGAGGCTACATCAATTCTGTGGGACATCACAGGGAGGCTACATCACTTCTGTGGGACAACCTACTTTAGGTCAGTTCACAGGGAGGCTACATCACTTCTGTGGGACATCCTACTTTAGGTCAGTTCACAGGGAGGCTACATCAGTTCACAGGGAGGCTACATCATTTCTGTGGGACATCCTACTTTAGGTCAGTTCACAGGGAGGCTACATCACTTTTGTGGGACATAGCTCTTTTAGGTCAGTTCACAGGGAAGCTACATCACTTCTGTGGGACATTCACTTTAGGTCAGTTCACAGGGAGGCTACATCACTTCAGTGGGACATCCTACTTCAGGTCAGTTCACAGGGAGGCTACATCACTTCTGTGGGACATTCACTTTAGGTCAGTTCACAGGGAGGCTACATCACTTCAGTGGGACATCCTACTTCAGGTCAGTTCACAGGGAGGCTACATCACTTCAGTGGGACATCCTACTTCAGGTCAGTTCACAGGGAGGCTACATCACTTCTGTGGGACATCCTACTTCAGGTCAGTTCACAGGGAGGCTACATCACTTCTGTGGGACATTCACTTTAGGTCAGTTCACAGGGAGGCTACATCACTTCTGTGGGACATAGCTCCTTTAGGTCAGTTCACAGGGAGGCTACATCACTTCAGTGGGACATCCTACTTCAGGTCAGTTCACAGGGAGGCTACATCACTTCTGTGGGACATTCACTTTAGGTCAGTTCACAGGGAGGCTACATCACATCTGTGGGACATTCACTTTAGGTCAGGTCACAGGGAGGCTACATCACATCTATTATTATAACAAGAACAGTATATTTGGGAATTGTTAGCCAATTTATTGGGTCACCATACATATGAAAAAATGACAGGACAGGAAGTGTCGAAACACCATCTTATTCCTGTTTATGGTTCTGAAAGTTTCTCATCCATAAAATGAGTAAATGTCATGGTATTTTCTATGACATTCTTGCTGTATATTTGTATTGCTTCTATTGTGCAGAACTCCTCCTGATCTACCACCAAAGAAGTTCTTCATACAGAGATTTGATGATGAATTTATCCAGAAGAGACAGGAAGGCCTTGAAAAGTTCCTTAACACGTATGTACTTGCTTCATATTACAGAGGCATGTATTTTGAAGAAAGTCACTTGCCTATGGAGAAACCACATGCAACCAGAGTCCTAGCAACTCTGAGGAATATATATACCCTGGGCCCAGAGTTATTGGGCAGTATTGCATAAAACATTAACAGACATGAACTGGTACCCACATTGTAGTTTTGAGGGCCTATGGAATGGTAGACCTGAAGTCATGATGCATTCCCCTGCAAGAATGTAGTGGCAACAGTTCCTTCAGGGTTTTTTACCTTGACTTACAAAAGTGGGTATCTGGGGGATACCCAATGATTAATGTTAAGGGTCACTGCAGGCCTGTAAAGTAATGAAATGGTTCCTCACTGACTATCTGTTTCCCATTTTCAGTGTGATTGCTGAAAAGTTGTACCTGTCTGACTCGGTGCTACACCTGTTCCTGCAGACAGACTTGACAGGGAGGGACATCAGTGACTTCATCTCGGGGAAACTGACAGAGGAATACATTCAGAGTGTGTGGAAGGCAGGTGGCAAGAAGAAGGTGGACAGGTGAGAATATTACAAATTACAGACTTTAATATACAAATAAAAAACAAAATGGCCCTGTGGGGATTCCTGGTTCCTGGGAATTGTTCCTCAGCAACCTATGCTGCTCAAGGAAATCAAATGGATTGGCTGGTGACTCAGTTGATGGTGTGTTGGTGTAACCCAGTGGATTTTTGCTCATGCTATTAATCACTGGATTGTTGCTCTTAATATCAATAACTGGATTGTCAAGACTTTACAAGATTATTTACAGGTTCACCTGAAATGGTCGACCCCTATGATGCTTTGGTTTCTGATTCCTGGCTGTGGGGTAGCCTTGTGGTTTAAGCATTCGCATCTCATGCCAAAGACCTGGTTTGATTCCCCATATGGGTACAAAGTGTGAAGTCCATTTCTGGTGTCTGTGCTGGAATATTGCTAAAAACGACATAAAACCATACTAGCTCACTAACTGAAGCTGATGCCTATGGATTCAGTACAACTGGATCTTATACCTGCGTATCCTCACTCATGATCCTCATGTCAGTTCACCATATTTGGGGGGCCACAGATGGACCAGTCTTCTAAGGCACCGATTTGCACAGACGTCTAGGGTGCTGCCCAATTCCTGTGCAGAGTTAAAACATGATCATGGGTTTGAATCTTGATTTGCCCTTTCTAGGTTTGAGCATCATACCCATAAACATCTGATAGTTCCTCCCACAGTAAGCTGACATACCATGATAACTAGAATACTGTTTAAAGTGGTGCTAAAACCAAGTCAATCACTCACCCTATATTCAACTGTCACTTTTTCCATTTGTTTCAGAGTCGTTCGACAATCACCTGCACGTCTCTCAATCAGCATTCCCAACACATCATGTGACAGTGCTCTCTCAGACAGCGTTTTGTCAGCAGACAGTTTTGTATCTATAGAAACCAGTGATGTAGACACGAGTGGAAATTCCTCTTTGAGCAGCAGTGCTTCAGAAGATGAGAACTCTAAACCAAAGGGAGATAACTCTCAAAATGGGACACTCTATCCAGAGTTGAGACGTGTGACATCTCGAGACTTCCGACCATCTTCCCATTATAGTATAAACAGTCAAGATGGACTATCTGATTAATGTGAGTCATACTATAGTGTGACTAAGTGAAACGACCATGATGGAAGAAGCAACATGCTTCCACGCCCGGTTCAAGAAGATGAAAAAGCAATGGGGTGCAAACATTAACATTGTGATAATTATAAATGTGGTGCCCTCTAGTCCTAAAGCTGTTCATTTATAAAGAACAGATCTACATGTGAGGAGTAAAAAAACTAAAAATGTATGCATGGATTGTATCTTAATAACTTTTGTGCCAAAAAAAATGTTGTATATTGATTTTTACCAAACAAAATAGATTATACATGCAGTTTTACCTTATCCTGACTCATGTTCCCAGTGCACATGCTCAGACCAGGGGTGCATTCGAGTGAGCTGTTTTTATTCCGTTGTCCGGGAACACAGTTCAGGACGTTTCCACTAACTTTAGGAAATGAGTTGAGATAAGCAATAGCATGAGTCAGGATAAGTATAAATGATACTTTTACTCTAAAAAAGTCATTAATATTGTTTCTGGTTAAAAAAACGTATTTAAATAAATTAAGCATTTTATCATTTTCTTGTAATATATTATTTTATTGTTCTGAAAATGTGTCTTATATGTGTGATATAAAAAAAGGTTTACCCTCTTTGCAAACTGAAAACTGATAAAGTTAAAACTTTTGAATAGTTGGGACTGACTGTTAAGGAGCCTTGGATTATATTTATTTAAATTGGGTCAGAAAATTTTTTACAAAAAAAATAAATAATTGTGCCCTGAGAGAAAATATTCTGTCTCTAATAAAATCTTGCCCCACCACAAGAATATTATATGGCCCCTTTTAAAAATAGATTAAATTATTTCTTTTTGGTTGTGTTGTAAAGCAATAGAAAAAAAAGTTAGCCTCAATGTACAATACTTTAGGATTGTTCACTTACATATAACAGAAATTACCAAACTAGACCAAAACGAGCAAATAAGCATTGGCATATCAAAAAAACTTTAAAAAACAAATATGTTATAATAAAACTCAAATGCTCTTGGCTTATTAAGAAATGACCTTGCACATTACTAATATACTCTGCCAAAAAAGAAACTCCAAGGATATTTTTTATGTATATTATATATATCATATGAATAATCAACAGATGGTAATTGAATGTTCAAAAATGGCATACATGGTCATTGACCTAGGTTCCATATGGCATACATGGAACAGTAGATTTTCACACTGTCAGATCTTATGATTTTACTACTTTTGCGTTTCTATTTTTGCAGAGTATACAGAGATTAGTAAGGCTTATTAGATTAGTAAAAAACATGTCTGAATACATTATATTAGTTATTGTGCAGCAGGAGAATGGGTATTGATGTCTTTCCATGAAAGGAAGTCGTGAAATTTTACAAATGACATTCAGCATTTTATAAACTTCTATTTATATATGATGTGTATAATTTGGTTTGTACATATTATAGGTATTCTACCTCAAAGAATGTGATATAGATGAATATATTTTACTAGATAAAGCCTAAATTTGAATAATATTGTTCCAATGTGACAGTGGTTATGCATGTTTAAAAATAAATACATAATGACTTTTCATTATTTTAAATTCTTTAATAATAAATAAAAAATTAATTTCAGTGGAGGGTGGACAGGAAACCTCCACCCTTGCGTCAGCACGTATGGAAACTATTTGCAAAATGGATAGTGACAATATAGTTGCTGCAGCACAGGTTCATTATGCCATCCATGTATTAAGAACCCTCTTCAATAAGCACCCTACTTCAAGACCAGTCTGTAAAAAATCTTCATAAGCGCCCCCTAACATGTACATGACATGACAGTCCATCTTTTTCCACATTTTACAGAAAACAGCACAGAAGACGTGTATTTAATGCCTAGTAACTTGTAGATCAACATTTGTTCACACTGACCTTTTCGGAAACCAACTTCAAATGAATAACTGGTTTCAACAAGTAGCCCCTTTTTCAATTTTCTTATTAGGGCGAATATGGTGTCTGGCCGCTGTGGTTGGATATTTCAGCTGCAGCATTATCTGACCAGGGCTCACTTGCACAAAGCAATCTTAGCGCTAACTCCCATACTTTAACATACTTAGTCTTAGCGCTAAGATTGTGTTGTGTCCTTTGAGTCATGGTTGTCTGGTTCAGGTTCATGAATCTTCTAAACATTTCAGTGTTAGTGAGTCTGTGATGCATGCTGCATTTGTCATAGCATTTATCTGTAGCTTTAGATTTACGGTCTGGCATTAAGCCAGGTGATACTAGATGTAAATAAATTAATGTTAAATTTATTTTTGTTTTTTGTTATTTTTCACGTGAATCTGAAACTAGTGCTGGTTCATCTGGACGCTTGCCGTAACAGGCGACTATGCTTGTCATAAGAGGCGACTATCTGGATCGGGTGGTCAGCGTTGCTGACATGGTTGATGCATGTCATTGTATCCCAACTGCGTGGATAGATGCTCATGATGTCAGTGGAATTTCTTGATTATTTACAGACCGCCGTCATATAGCTGGAATATTTCTGAGTGCTGCATTTATCAACAAACAAACAAACAATGTGGTTGCTATGGCGGTCATATTCAAGATCAGTTTTAAAAATTCAGACAAATTGGTGTCATTGGGAACAAGAGTGTTAAGTTTTAACATTGTTGGGTCATTAGTTTCACCAGTACACCTGATGTTTCAGTGCTGACAGAAACTTTTATTAAGATGAGAGATTGTAAACGGGACTACATGTCCAGGTGAACACAGTGTCATGGCACGTTTTTTTTATCCTGAGGTTTGAACTTTGGCCTCATGTACAACCCTGCCATCCGTCTTTCTGGCCAAGAGTGTCTACTAGCCTATATCAAAGCCTAGTTCCAGGAAAACTTTGATATGGTCTGGTGGACATTCTTGCCTGGGGAATATACCTTCAACCTTACTAGAGTGACCTGACCCAGTGGAGATAGAAACTGCATGTTGAAGAGTGATGTTATACAACATTTCGGTCAATCAATTTCTGTCAGTTAAGCAAAGAAAGAAAACAAGGAACTAATGGGATCTGTTTATTGTTACTTTATCACACATAAATCCAATTATTCATATTTACATTGTGTATATTTCAGAATCAGATTAATACAAAATAACAAACAGGAGTATCAGAGATAGAACAAATATGCCAATAACAAACAATATGTTTTGGAAAAAAAACATCAGAACTTTAACAAACTCTTTTTGTATATTTGTAAATGGGATATACCATATTTCCTCTTTTGGAAGTTGGGAATCCAATACACACATGCCCGTAATTTATGCCGGGTCATATGCACTGTCCAATAAATAGAAGCCAGGTGATTAATAATGACGGTTTCCTGCAAATGCACCCTTTGAATGACTGTAGCACTTGGGATTTGGTAAGGTGGTATGTTGCCACAGTGTCAGCATTAAACAGTATGGACGCTGGGTAACTGCCTTGCACAGAGACATCAAATAGAGGAACTATGGTACTATATTAATGTTTGTTTGTTTGTTGTTTAACGCCACACTCAGCAATATTCCAGCTATATGACGGCGGTCTGTAAATAATCGAGTCTGGACGTGACAATCCAGAGATTGACATCATGGCCATCGATCCACACAATTGGGATACAATGACATGCATCATGAAGCGGGCCTGACCCCTTGATCCCGTTTGTCGCCTCTTACGACAAGCATAGTTGCCTTTTACGGCAAGCATTGGTTGCTGAAGACCTATTCTACCCTGGGTCTTAACGGATCCTGTGCTAATAATACTGAATGGGAGTCCACATATTATCATTTTTCGGAGATTGTTTGATTACCACCTATACCAAATGTTACCACTGAACAATGCTGTGTATGAATCTGAAAACTGAAATCATAATTCAGACCTTGAGAAATATTCAACTGAGCAATACAGGACAACCTTATCTTCAGAGTTTGTGATTTCAAAATTGAGTTTATCATTTGACGTTGGCTCTGACCAGAAGTCCACTCTCAGAGTGTCCCCAAGACTGCATTCCTTCACATAACTTAACTCCGCAACCTTCACAGGTCGATACAGTTCCAGCACATTAGCTGACTTGTCCTTTTCATATTTAAACAATGCAAAAGCCTCCAGGCAGAATTTTAAATAACCTGTCCAGTTCACATGGAAATATGTATCCGTATCACTTGGCTGTACTGTCAGTGAGTATGAGCTGATCTCTGATTGGCTGGGACGTGGTGATGGTTCCATACGCAGAGCACTTCCTGTCATGTTGATTTTTGAATATTTTTCCTTCCACCAGTCAGGAAGTGCTGCAGGACGGCGGTTTTCCTTGGAAACCGAAACTGTTTGTTGTTGACAGCTTGCCAGAAGCAGACCAGTTTTTGATTGAGTAACTCTGGTTTCAAGGTTCGTCGAGGAGCTCCCATGGTAGAGGAGCTCCTTGTTCAAGCGGAGGGGACTCTTGGTAACAGAATACCCGTACATCTCCGGCTGGATTTCGAGTCGTGCAGATGCGATGAATGCCAAGTAATGATCGTAAAGCCTATGGAAGTCGAGGTAGGACCGGTTGTCATGAGGTATTGGGTTGAAACTGAGCGCTCGCCCTGACTCCACAAGGTTCAACACGTGCCATGGTTTCACATGGGCTGCAATAGATACATGTCCAAAATATACTACACAAAACAAGTTAAAGAACACAATTTTTCTTGTGACAAAGTAATCTGTCACAGCTGGTGGGTATTGCAACACAGCCTTCCAATTTTGGGTGTTTACATTACTTGTTTTGAGTGGTATATATTCTGTTCTTTAATGCCATGGGATTGGGTGGTCAGGCTTGCTGACTTGGTTAATGCATGTCATCATATCCCAATTGAGTGGGTTGATGATGTCAATCACTGGACTGTCTGGTCCAGACTTGATTATATACAGACCACTGTTAAATAGCTGGAATATTGCTGAGTGCAATGTTAAACAAAACACAAAACAAAAACAGTAAATTCTCACAAAAGATCATCTCTGTCCCAACTACTTAGCATATCAATAGACAATTTGTACAAGTTCCAGAACCTTGCTACCAAAATGCAGGGTGGGAGAGACGTAGTCGGTAGGCACAACAAGGGAATATTGAATAATTTAGTCAGTCTGCATAACAGATGGAATAATGACTGCCAGTGGAACACAGGATATTTAATGCTTTTACAAGAATGTGTATGGTTTTACAAGAATGTATACAGTTTTTCAGAATGGAGGTGCACTAAACATCTGATTAACATCCAAGAGGTATACACCCTGTGAAGATCCAGGTCAGAATTGGTTTGTTTGTTTATTTCTTGTTTAACGCCGCCCTCAGCAATATTCCAGCTATATGACGGCGGTCTGTAAATAATCGAGCCTTGACCACACAATCCAGTGATTGACATCATGAGCATCAATCCACGCATTTGGGACATGCATCAACCAAGTCAGCGAGCCTGACCACTTGATCCCATAATTGGTCTTTTGCTACTCATGCTTGTAAGAGGCGACTAACGGGATCAGGTCTCCAGGCTCACTGACTTGGTTGATGTCTGCCATATCCCAATTGCTTTCATTGATGCTCATCATATCAATCACTGGATTGCGTGGTCCAGACTATTATTACAGACCTCTGTCATAGCGCGAATACTGCTGAGTGCACCATGAAACAACAAATGAACAAACAAACAATACTACATGAAGTTTTCAAACAATATATTTACGTATGTCTAAGTTGATCAGTGGATGAGTCAGTACAACACAGTTTTGGAATACTCAAAGATCATGTCAAATCTAGTAGATTTACCTTTGCCATCAAATGCTTCATAGGGGATTCCCCCAGGCAATGACAGAACACACTGATGTGGAGAGGGAAACTCCCGCTTCACTCCATGGCCTATCTGCTGAGCAATGCTGTAAGAACAATCAAATCATAGTAATATGATCATGTCATTACAAAACACAGTAGGTCCCAGAGCAAAAGATAACTTTTTGAGCAATTGAGTTTTTACTCTAGGGTTTCTATTTTAATTGGGTTATTACATTTTTAATTGGGTAACCAATATTTTTTCACTCATCTATTCATCACTCTATTAGATTTTTCCAAAAATAAGTAAACATTTTAAGATTTCAATATAAGGTTTTATATGTATATAACTGTTCTAAATATATACACTTGACTCGGAAAGTAAATTATCTTATAATTGTGTTACGGAAATTAGCTCCTTTGTACGCATGCTGAAAAAGCTTCATTGGGTATTTACGTGTGTTGTTTTTATACATTTGAGTTTTTTGAGCTCCCAGAATCGACCCCGGGGTAGATTTTAGGGACTTCCCAGAAACTACCCAAAGGGGGTATAATCTGGAAGTTCCAAGAATCTACCCCAGTGTAGATTATAACAAATTGTTATCAAATCAAAAAATTCAAAATGTTGTTTTATACATGCAAAGAAGAAATAAATATTGTTGAAACTAATACAAAATATCTTACAAATCACATTGACTTAAGCTCATTGTAGTCATCATCAATTTGTAAGTTCGAAAGTTGGTGTTGAGAATTGTGTGAGGAAATGTCTTACACTTATGTCATTGAATAAGCTTTAATATGCTTTGTGAACAGACCTAACTACTTTTGATTGCATATAAAATCATTTTGAAACCAATTACAGAGCTCCAAATAAGCTTTTGGTGTTGTGGGTATTTTACCCATGCATTTTAAAATCACTGCGTATCAGCTATTCTATCTGGGTATTCAAATTTCTGTTACCCACTAGTTTTTACACATGTGGGTATTTAAGTTAAATATTTAAAAACACTATTCATCTAGTCCCTGCAAACTGGTGTTGTGTGGGTTCGAGAGCTTTATAGGACTCAAAAATACCACGATACTTCCACAAGAAAGTGTGATGGCAAATGATCATGATGTAACTGTCATCGTGGAGTTTGGCAAGGTTGACGGTATGCCCTTTTATAATTTCAAAATAAGTTGCTGATTTGCCAATCGAATACGCAGGGTTACTTCACAATATTTTGAATATACGCACAAGTTTTATTTTTGTAGCGTATCTGTAATGTTCGTTGCGTATTTGATACGCTTGGATATTATTTTACTGCGTATTTCTGCATTTCTGATGCGTATTTTACGCAGATACGCAGCTTATCTGGAGCTCTGAATTATAAGCATGCACTTGTGTCTGTAAGTACCTTTGTTTGGGGAGGCATGTATCACAGTATCAAGAACATATTCTGAGTATAGAAGACATCACATCATTAAAAGCATCTAATTATTTGTCCATTTACATTCTCAGGGAACATTTATCACTATGTTAAAGTGATCATGGAGGTTGGTAAGATTGACCAGGAGAGATCAAGACTGAGTTAGATGCATCCCCAAAAAGAAAACTTCATGTACGTTCATGAAATAAAAATGTTTAAATCAAACAAGGCTGGAATCTGGGAGCTCCTAGATTATAGTTATAACCTGGGGTAGATTCAGGGAACTCCCAGAGTATATCCCCGGGGGTTGATTCTGGGAAAGGGGGGGGGGGGGGGGGGGTAGATTCTGGAAGGTGCCAGAATCTACCCAGGTATACTTAGAACGGAGGGTATACTTTCAGACTTTACACCAGGTTGACTCATAGTTTTCAACTTATTTATTCTTTAATGCGATGTTACCATGGTTACTATAATTTTTTTACTTAAAAATATTGTTTATACTATTACCGTATTCGACGTAATAAGCGCCCTGCTCCAATAAGCGCCCACGGCGAAATTTGCTAACATATTGGCAAGTGAACAATCCCAATTAGAACCCCTTCCAAATGATCAATGTACACAAGACTTATTTATTCGCGTATAAGACACACTCGTGTGTTATATGCATCCTTAATTATGGGCAATATAATTCTGGAAAAATATATCTGTCGTACATAAACATTTCAGGCTGTCAGCATAAATCACGAAATTTATCTTTCAACTCTGTTTTTTTTCCACCAAAATAATATTCTAATAACAGCCCCCTATTCCTAATTTTGAGAGCGCCCTGGGCGCTTATTATGTCGAATACGGTTATCTGTGTGAATGAATGGGGCAAGGGGCATAACTCTGTCTTCATTGATCAAAGTTCAATGTGCACATTTGATCTGATATGTGTTCTGTACACTGTTGATCTAAAAAATACGTGAGCGAACTAAATAATGCAGTCAGTCGGTGGTCTATCCTAAGTGCACCCATATATAGATAAATCAATTATAGAGACTTACGTAGCATGAATGTGCTTAACACGTTTTTTACGACCTAGATCGCGGTTGCAAAACTACCATAACATACTGGTCGTTCTTGACATGATTTGTGGTTTCTAAACCTGTATAATGCAATTTTAGATATTTTCCCGTTATAACACCAACGGTTAGAAAGCCCGAGTTGGATTTCTATTAACTGATCCATCGATATATTTACGGGCTCGAGTGTCTGTCTTACCGAGAAAAGCACAGGATAATACTTTTGGATGTCATAGCGGAAAGTCGGATTTTCGCAGTGTTCAAAGGGAAGTAACTTCCGTATCTAAGCTACTTGAAGGATTTTGAAGCGCCCTTAAAATATATATCAACTTTGAACCTGGGAGTCAAAGGCATTGTCTGTCTTACGGACCCTAAATTTCCCTAATACAAATATATCAAATACAGCCCATGCAAGTCTATAAAGTTTGGCAAGTCTAGATTACTGCAGTATCTGAAAATAAATGGAGTCTCTGGGCTCCTTTTTATTATATTTTTATTAAGAAAATTGAACAACTTTTTTTTCTGTACTGTATGTTCATTTCAGAGACCAGAAGTTAGTCTTTCAAAGGCAAGACACGTGTATTTATTAATTCACAGGCATTTATTGGTCAGTAAATAAAATATGTACCCCCTATATGGAAATAAGTAAGTGCTATATATAGGGGTTTATAGTTTTAGTTACTGACCCAAAACGAGTTCCTGTGGCATAATTATAGTCTCCAAACTATGAAAACAACAGAGTGTTATTTGGACCTGATAAAAAAATACTTTATATGATATCTTCCTGGAATAGAGGAGAGCGTCCAGGGGTGAAAGGTTGTAAGGACGGCGCTACGCATGCAACGCCCACCCAAATCCAGAATAACAGTGTTGTGCAAACTATGCAATCATTACGTCTCCTCCAAACGTCTGTGTGATCCCGGACTTGGGTGTGGTCAACCACAGAAAACATAGCTGTGCCAGAGACCATATCATATGGTCTGTGGCTGTACCAAAAAAAAATGAAACAATTATCGATCCAAACTACGCCGTGCTAAACCATTAATTTTATCTCGATGCCACCGATATTTTCTTTTGGACAATTGGAAAATTTATTTGTGAGATAGCTGCAACATGCATGTGTACATTTTGTTCACAATAAATTATGAATAAACGAGACTTTTGAACAGAAAGTCCGTTCTCATTCAGATTATATAAATATAAAATGTATTTTTCTCAAGTACATTTTTTTCCACCGTAGTGCGTTATCTTTGATGGTTGCACACCATATTGATAAATGATTATTCTATTAATAGATGGAATGTTCATGTGAAGTCTCCATATGGTAGTCACATGACCCGGAAAGTTGAGTCTGGGTTGGCTGTCACATGACAACAACATGGCGGGAGGTTTCAGCTGTGCGCTGTTAGCTGCTCTTGTGTCGGTTTCATATGCCGATGTTGTTGATCTGTCTGGGAATTGGACTCTTCTTAACAATGTTAGAGGTGAGGGACACTCATTGATGTACTCGTCATATTTAAGAAACATGCGTGCTTTCTGAAATGTTCTCTTTACACGAAATGCAGGGCTGTCATCAGAGATTCAGACTAACGGTAAACAGCTGAGGTAGGCTTATGCACTTCAACATGTGTTTACAGGTTCCTTCCCTAATCTTGTCAGTTAGATAAAGGTCCGAGTTTAGGGTATGTTAGTATACATGTACTGAAATTAGACCTTGAGTTTTATAGACCGAGTGACGTTTGGCTACTGTGTGTGGTAGATGTTGAAATCTTTTTCTCAGAATATTAGGAGCACCTTTAGAATACAGTACCTAAACTTTTTGTGAGGACGATCTCTTGCCATAGGTCACTGGTCTCAAAGACAGTTTTTGTGAGAATCCCTCGGACACAAACTCGCGACATTTGGATTGTAAGCCCTACAGCTAACTGACTGAGCTACTGTGTAACTAAGTGCAAATTTACCTCGTCATGCCTAAGCCATTACAGAACTAAATGAAAAAGGTTGAATAGGGGACTGACACTTACGAAGGTTACGGGTAGGCATGACTTCTCTTGACTTTAGTCTACCGATGCTTACGAGCGATCCAGATGCCATTTGTCACTCTCGTCCAATTCCGTAATCTACAAGATACCAAGTGGTGAGGAATGAGCCAATATGGCGAGAACTGAAAACGGTTCCAGGACGTCGAACTCGCGGGTATGCATGAATGACATGGTATTAAATAATTTGTAGGGTGATTTTGTGACAGACAAGTGTAGTAGGGAACACTGTAAGGATAATGTGGATCATATAGTAAGGAACGAGGGAGGAATAAGCATACGAGGGAGGAATAAGCATATAGTGACGCCACAACAGTGAGTCCGCTTTTGACTCATTACTGAATAAATATAACGGGTGAAAGTGGCTTGTATGAATGTTCCAGGGCAGTTTCCAGTAGCCAAAACATTTGACACTAAACCATTTCATCCTGCTTTCTTGACATTTTTGTATGAAGAATATTAGGAGCCACTATAGAAACAATAATATCCACTAAACAGGTACCTAACCCTAATGATCGTAAAACTAGGGTTGATTGATCATGAAGGGGATCCAAGGCCAAGGGTCTATTATTCCAGGGTTTTGTAAATGATCTTTAAAGAATTCACCTACAGGGTAGTTTTGCAGTTCTAATCACCTTATTTCCTTTAGTGGAACATCTTGTCACACATAATGCAGTGGACCGCCTCCGTGGTCTAGTGGTAGAGCGCCTGCCGAGAGCGGAAGGTCCGGGGTTTGATCCCCGGCCGCGTCATACCAAAAGACGTTAAAAGATGGTACTTGTTGTTACCCCGTCTGGCGCTTGGCATTAAGGGGCTAAAACAAGGACTGGTCGGCTTGGAGTCAGTATACTGTGTCTGAGTGGGGTAATTATGTTAGACTGCAGCATGGTATCTCAGTGGGCTAGCACTATAAATCGGATATAAGTGCAATAATCTTGGACGCGACGTTAAACCCAATTTCATCTCACCTCACCTAATGCAGTGTTTGAAATAGGTGCACGCAGGCCTGTAGTTTCACATTTGTGTAAGTCCTTTTGACTTGCAGTAAATTTACGTCTCAATTTATTTGTCCAATAAGGTCCTGCAGTGTTTAGTCAGTCAACACTGTCTTGATGGTAGATGAACATTTTATCACTTGGTGGTGTGGGATTGAAATAGATGTAAACAATAATACCGGTACCGACTTGTTACCGACTACCCATCTGTTGCATGGTATTACTGTTCTGTTTTGTGTCTAGTTATAGAATGACCATTCTCAGTGCAAATTTAACAGGACTGTCAAAGGACTGTGTACTAATCTGCTAACTCAAGCCAGATGCACAATGTCTTAAATGTTGGCATATTTTTGGCCGAAAATAATTCATGCCAGAACCGTCCCTTTACTTTAATGTGTGTTCTTGTAAGTATGACAGTTTAGCATTAGGGTTCAAGGGTTTATCTAGCCTGCTCATAGGGTCATGTCAAGCCCCAAGTCTTAGCAAATGTCAGCAAACAATCGCAAATTGGAATGGACATTTTCCAAATTGATGTTGTTATATAGTTATAACTACTGTTCTGGCTTTGTAGAAGAAACTTGTGTTTCAACAACACCTGACACCAGTAAACATGATATTGAGGATCGATTAGGTTTCAGTACTTAATTTGACTTTAAAATACCTCCTAATGTATGAAAATGTCAACTTTAAAATATCCCAATCTTGAATAAAATAACAATTTCCCCCAGTTTGACTGCTAAAGGCACTTAGTTTTAAATACTTGCAAAATCCCTGGGGTTGGTTAGCATGGTTAGTGTAAAGGTCTCAGGATCCAAGGTGGTGGTGGTATTAACGAGTTGCCATGGGGATTCCCAGTTAGAATAGGTCCCTAGAAACCTATGCTTGTTATAAGAGATGACTTGAAAGGATTAGATAGTCAAGCTAGGTGACGTCATTGATTATGTGTCTCTGTACCCCAAGGGCATTGGAGAGGTCAAAATGTCAATCACATAATTTTCTGGTCCACTCAGTTATTTTGAAGCTGTCATGATATGGCAGGAATATTTTTGACTTCAGGATCGAATAACAAATGAAAAAAATAAAGCATATGAGAATAGGAAGATTTTCTCACATGATCCCTGGAAAACAGATGTCAGTTTGACCTCATCTGTGAGGCTTGTCAGCTGACAGTTCACAGAGTTATGCTTCTGATAAGAAATGGCAAATCAAGTTGGTAAGGCAAATCTGAGACAAGGCCAAAGTCCTGCCCCACACTGAAGCACATGTAGCACATGGGTTTTTTTCCTTAGCAATGTGACTTTGATCAAAATATGCCTCTGTTCACCAAGCAGTGTATGGGTACCCAGTAGGATGAGATGGAAGTGTAACCTTCCAGTGCCTCACAGGTAGCTTAGGTTGTATTCTCCCCAGGGAGCTGAGATTGAAATGCATGATTAGGATCCTTAGGTTTTCAGCACTGACCTGAGTTTGTATATTTCACTGAAGTGCTAACTTGTCTGCGGGAAATACAGCCATACAATCTCGGCCATTTGTGAGACATTCAAGAATATTCTTTGGTTCAGTTTTCAAATTTTGAATCAAACTTTGCCAAAATATTGTTCGAAGCATTGTCTGGCATGCCGTTTAGTGGAAGGTCACTGATTTCTGATTAGCTAATGTCGACTTCTTGTTAGTCATTTTATTGGTTGGTCAAAGTTCGCAAAAGTTTGTTCTCGACCCATGCTTGTCCATGCTTGTCATAAAAGGCGACTATGCTTGTCGGAAGAGGCGACTAATGGGATCGTGTGGTCAGGCTTGCTGACTTGGTTGATGCATGTCATCAATCCCAATTGCATGGATCAATGCTTATGATATTAATCACTGGATTGTCTGGTCCAGACTCAATTATTTACAGACCACCGTCGTATAGCTGGAATATTGCTGAATGCGGCATTACACAACAAACCAACCAACCAACCAATCAGATCTTTGTTGTTTGGCAGTAACAAGAACCAAGATCTGATTTTAAATGGATTGGAAATGTTCAAGCACATGTAGGTGAGCTACATAGCCAGGTGAGCTACAAATGCTGCTAGGTAACAGTTGATGGTACCTCACCGATGTTGCAACATTGATGGTTGTTCCAGGTGAGAGGATTCCTGCCAGTGTGCCAGGCAGCATGTACACAGCCCTGTACACCAACAAGCTGATTCCAGATCCGCTGTACCGGGACAACGATGTCAAACTACGATGGATTGGACGAGAAGACTGGACATACACACGTACCTTTCAGTGTAAGAGCAGGACGAGAGCCACGTAATTAATTTATTATAAGAACACAGACATCATGTGATGTGTAATAAGCACTAAGATAGCTGATGAGGTAGTTACTAAATTGAATGTATTGTATGAGGTCATTACTACATCTGATGTTTTGTATGAGGCCCTTACTACATCTGATGTATTGTATGAGGTCCTTGCTACATCTGATGTATTGTATGAGGTTCTTGCTACATCTGATGTATTGTATGAGGTCCTTACTACATCTGATGTATTGTATGAGGTCATTGCTACATCTGATGTATTGTATGAGGTCATTACTACATCTGATGTATTGTATGAGGTTCTTGCTACATCTGATGTATTGTATGAGGTCCTTACTACATCTGATGTATTGTATGAGGTCCTTGCTACATCTGATGTATTGTATGAGGTTCTTGCTACATCTGATGTATTGTATGAGGTCCTTACTACATCTGATGTATTGTATGAGGTCATTGCTACATCTGATGTATTGTATGAGGTCATTACTACATCTGTTGTTTTGTATGAGGTCATTGCTACATCTGATGTATTGTATGAGGTCATTGCTACATCTGATGTATTGTATGAGGTCATTACTACATCTGATGTATTGTATGAGGTCATTGCTTCATCTGATGTATGAGGTCATTGCTACATCTGATGTATTGTATGAGGTCATTACTACATCTGATGTATTGTATGAGGTCATTGCTACATCTGATGTATTGTATGAGGTCATTGCTACATCTGATGTTTTGTATGAGGTCATTGCTACATCTGATGTTTTGTATGAGGTCATTAATACAGCTGATGTATTGTATGAGGTCATTACTACATCTGATGTTTTGTTTGAGGTCATTGCTACATCTGATGTATTGTATGAGGTCATTACTACATCTGATGTATTGTATGAGGTCATTGCTACATCTGATGTATTGTATGAGGTCATTACTACATCTGATGTTTTGTAGTGAGTTCAGCAGACCTGTCTGCCTCTGCCCTCCATCTTGTCTGTGACGGTCTGGACACCTTCTCAACTGTCTTCATCAACAACAAGAAGGTCGGGACATCAGAGAACATGTTTGTCCAGTATGTCTACGACATAAAAAATGCTGCCAAGGTAGGAATGTTTTTCACGTAACAGAATTATGTTTTCTCTCTTGTCTATATATGAGTTTTTAAACTAAGTGATCTGATCTGACCTGTCTGTTCCACAAGGTCAAAGACATCTGGTTTCTTTTCTGCCATTTTGGTGGCCATCTTGGTTTTCCTAATGGCCAACATTTTAACTATTTAAAGTCATGTATTCCACTTAGAAAGAAATACATTTCACTCAAAATTAAGCAGAAATATCTTGAGTGCTGTGTCTTATGTAAATGGTAATTGGTTGAGAAAACATGAAGAACACAGTCGTAGAACAACTAACTCTTTGTCACATTTTTCAGGTAGGGGACAACACAATTAGCGTTGAGTTTGACTCTGCTGTAAAGGTTGCTGAACAGAAGGCCAATGCTTCTGCCTATGACATCCCCAATGATTGTCCACCCAAGGCACAGAACGGAGAATGTCATGTCAACATGATCAGAAAGGAGCAGTGTTCTTTCAGCTGGGACTGGGGACCGTCCTTCCCAACACAGGGAATATGGTAAGCACAAGGAACTGGGGGACGTCCTTCCCAACACAGGGAATATGGTAAGCACAAGGAACTGGGGGCCTTCCTTCCCAACACAGGGAATATGGTAAGCACAAGGACCTGGGGGCCTTCCTTCCCAACACAGGGAATATGGTAAGCACAAGGAACTGGGGGCCTTTCTTCCCAACACAGGGAATATGGTAAGCACAAGGAACTGGAGGATGTCCTTCCCAACACAGGGAATATGGTAAGCACAAGGAACTGGGGACCTTTCTTCCCAACACAGGGAATATGGTAAGCACAAGGAACTGGGGGACGTCCTTCCCAACACAGGGAATATGGTAAGCACAAGGAACTGGGGGCCTTCCTTCCCAACACAGGGAATATGGTAAGCACAAGGAACTGGAGGATGTCCTTCCCAACACAGGGAATATGGTAAGCACAAGGAACTGGGGGACGTCCTTCCCAACACAGGGAATATGGTAAGCACAAGGAACTGGAGGACGTCCTTCCCAACACAGGGAATATGGTAAGCACAAGGACCTGGGGGCCTTCCTTCACAACACAGGGAATATGGTAAGCACAAGGAACTGGAGGATGTCCTTCCCAACACAGGGAATATGGTAAGCACAAGGAACTGGGGACCTTTCTTCCCAACACAGGGAATATGGTAAGCACAAGGAACTGGAGGATGTCCTTCCCAACACAGGGAATATGGTAAGCACAAGGAACTGGGGACCTTTCTTCCCAACACAGGGAATATGGTAAGCACAAGGAACTGGGGGACGTCCTTCCCAACACAGGGAATATGGTAAGCACAAGGAACTGGGGGCCTTCCTTCCCAACACAGGGAATATGGTAAGCACAAGGAACTGGAGGATGTCCTTCCCAACACAGGGAATATGGTAAGCACAAGGAACTGGGGGACGTCCTTCCCAACACAGGGAATATGGTAAGCACAAGGAACTGGAGGACGTCCTTCCCAACACAGGGAATATGGTAAGCACAAGGACCTGGGGGCCTTCCTTCACAACACAGGGAATATGGTAAGCACATGGACTTGGGGACCTTCCTTCCCAACACCGGGAATATGGTAAGCACAGGGAACTGGGGGACGTCCTTCACAACACAGGGAATATGGTAAGCACAGGGAACTGGGGGACGTCCTTCACAACACAGGGAATATGGTCGGCTTTAGGAACTGGGGACTTCCTTCCCAACACCGGGAATATGGTAAGCACAGGGAACTGGGGGACGTCCTTCACAACACAGGGAATATGGTCGGCTTTAGGAACTGGGGACTTCCTTCCCAACATAGGGAATATGGTAAGCACACGGGACTGGGGACCTTCCTTCCCAACACAGGGAATATGGTAAGCACACGGAACTGGGGCCTTCCTTCCCAACACAGGGAATATGGTAAGCCAGCTTTAGAAACTGGCACTAGTCCTATAGTCCTTGCCAAACTGCCCAATAGTTAAGTATCCTAGGAGAAAGGACTAGTAATCATGTGTCCTGTTTAGGGGTTTTGCTCTGTTATCAGTATAAGGACTAGTGGACTGAAACAGTTAGTTTCCAATACTGTAAGCACCAGCAACTGGGGACACAACACGGAGAATAAGGTTAGTTGATGTATTGAAGAAAAACGTAGGAGAGTTTATCTTACTTATAAGCCAACATCTTAGATTGATAGATACATTAATCAAATATGTTGTATTAGTTTGATACCTATCTCCCATCATTTTGTATCAGTAGTTGACTTTGATGTATCGTGATACATTGCATCTTACCGAGGCAAGTGAGTTAACTGACTATTAAAGTCCAGTTTTCACCCTTGCCGAACTAGGCTGGGATTATGGAGTTACATTTTGGCTGGACTAACGAGTCTGTGCATAGTCCAATCAAAATCTTGTACCGAAATCGAAATCCAGTTAGTAAACAGTCGTGTAGATTTCGGTCGATTGCAGGTTTTGCAAAGCGTGTGCACCGCCAACTCGTTGTCAACAGATATTTTCCAAATCTGTTCATGTCTTTAATCAAGGTGCTCACGTGATTTGATGCACTTCGCTATGTTAGACCCGTTTTATCACAATATAGATCTTTATTATTAATCAGATGGTCTTGACTGGGCGCCGCCATTTTGTTTGAAACAAATGCAAGTGATACGAGAGGTGGAATCTGATTGGTCCATAGGAGAGGCTTAGACATGTTACAAGGGAAATAACTTGTAATTACCACTGGTGGCGCTACGATCGAGCCCAGGAATTCTAGCCTAGTTCGGCAAGGGTGGAAACTGGACTCATAAAGTCAGTTAACTCTCTTGCCTCAGGAAGATGGATACATTGGAGAAACACTAAATCGCTCCATGTTCTCAGTCAAATACTTTTTATCTCATGAATGAGACAAATACATATGTACATGGTCTTTTGAAGGAGTGAATTAACTTTTCTTCTTTCTTTCTAGGAAAGATATCTATATCGAGGCATTCAATACTTCAGTTATCCGTGAACTGTCAGTGGCAACAACAAGAGGTATTGTAAGACAAACCAGCATACTGCAGTGCTTCAGGGGAAAGATCCGTGTACAGAGCTCGATTAAGCTGTAATTACATGCACCAGTGCTACCTGTAATTGAAAAGTGCAACCTAATAGTTATGTCTACATGTACACACACAATATCAATCTACACACTCAATGCCTCTAGGGGCATTTGGGTAGCCTTCTTTTTAAAGTGTTTGATCTCCATGCCGAACACCGGATTCAATTCTCGATACGGGTACAATGTGTGAAGCCCATTTGTGGTGTAGCCCACCGAGATACTGCTTGAATATTGCTGAAAGAGGTGTAAAACCATACTCACTCACTCACTCACTCACTCACTCACTCACTCACTCACTCACTCACTCACTCACTCACTCACTCACTCACTCACTCAATGCTTCTAAAATATATTTACCATACTACATCACTAATTCCTTTTAAAAGGTGACTAACGGGATTGGGTGGTCAGTCTCGCTGACTTGGTTGATGCACGTCATCGTATCCCAATTCCGTGGATCGAAGCTCATGAAGTAAATCACTAGATTGTCTGGTCCAGACTTGATTATTTACAGACCAATTTCATATAGCTGGAATATTCCTGAGTGCAGTGTTAAACAACAAACAAACAAACACTAAGTCCTGTGTTTTGTGTAATTTGTCATACTTTCATGGGCTTGATGTAATCAAACTGTGTGTACCAGTACTTCACAATTATGTGCACATGTTGCTATTACGTTTTACAGCAATGCGTCATTAATTTATGTGATGCTGGCAACAGTCCAGCCTATGTTTCAACTTTGATAAATTTATGAGACCAGTGTCCAACCTGGTATTTCCTGGTGCAGCTTGGTTGTCATGTCAACATGCACGTTGTGCTAGTTAAGTCAAGTTTCAAGCCCTGAGCGTGTATGCTTTTCAAGTCTCGAGTTGATTCGTCACAGGACAGTAAAAGGAAGCCCTTTGTTTAGAAAACCATGACTACAACAAACAGATTTCACCAGTCCCTTGCAGTTTATTAATCTTTATTTGAATGTGTGAATGAATGTTGTTTTATGCCATTGTCAGCAATATTCCAGCTGTATCATGGCCGCCTGTAAATAATCGAATCTGATATCAAGATGAATGTGCTGCTTATATGTACATGATAAACACTCACTGTCCTTGTGTTGTCCAATTCTAGGATCGGGAGGAGAGTGGATGCTGGATGTGGGCGTGTACTTCGACGTTGGCGGGGGTTCCGTGTCGGGCGTCCTCACCACCTACGTTGTCGGGACATCGGTGATGAAGTCAATGCCACTGACACTCACACCAACAAACAGTTCATCCAACTTCACAATCACCATTCCTAGCGTAAGTTCCAGAGTTGGCGGGAGCTTCTAGTACTGGATAATGAACACTGTATGAGAAAATTGTACAAAATTTAAAGAGGGAGGCAACATGTCTTTTAGAGTAATGCTTAGTCTCTGAAAATAAATAATTTTGATAGAAACAAGCAACTGCAAAAAAATTTCAATTGAAAATGTGCTGAAGTAAGATTGGAGATTTCGGTGGAAAATCTAGGGCTGAGCAGAAGGGAGATGATATGGTTATACACTGTATAAGAAGTATTTTGCAAAATTAAAAATGGAGTGTATACGTCTATGTACCCTATCAAGGGGGGTGGGGAGTGCTTGGGGTGGAGTAGACAACAGACAGACGCGGCAGACAGACAGAGGCACAGACCTTTGTCTGTAGGACTGGCAATGATGATGTGACAGAGTGATGTAAGCTGGGACCTGACTGGCTGTTTATTTGTCCCATATCTAGAGTGAGAAAATCGACATATGGTGGCCGAATGGTTATGGGAACCAGACTCGTTACAACGTCAACGTCACCTTCACCAGCAACAACGAGGTGTCCAACAAACAACGTCGGGTGGGATTCCGTACTGTAGAGCTGGTGCAGGATCCTGTTGGCAACAACACAGGTGGGTGGAGTTGTGTTGGCAACAACACAGGTGGGTGGGGTTGTGTTGGCAACAACACAGGTGGGTGGGGTTGTGTTGGCAACGACACAGGTGGGTGGGGTTGTGTTGGCAACGACACAGGTGGGTGGGGTTGTGTTGGCAATGACACAGGTGGGTGGGGAATGTGTTGGCAACGACACAGGTGGGTGGGGTTGTGTTGGCAACGACACAGGTGGGTGGGGTTCTGTTGGCAACGACACAGGTGGATGGTGTTGTGTTGGCAACAACACAGGTGGGTGGGGTTGTGTTGGCAACAACACAGGTGGGTGGGGTTGTGTTGGCAACGACACAGGTGGGTGGGTTGTGTTGGCAACGACACAGGTGGGTGGGGTTGTGTTGGCAACAACACAGGTGGGTGGGGTTGTGTTAAGCATTCTTAAAATCCCCAGCTGTAGAATACCGGAAGTAGAAATATGTTGGTAAACACTTACAGTACGTTGCTTAAAATCAAGAGACTTGCTTGCTTGCAAAATAGATTCTTGTGGCATTTTGGATAGCGAGGACTATATGAAATTCAGGGATTTATCTAGACCTGCTCTGAGGCTGATATTCAGCCCGAAGTCTGCTGCAAATTTCATTAAAAATTTCCAAATGGGAATTACAGATTTCCCACTTATTGTTAATATATACTGACCAGCTTTGAAAACGCACCAACGTGAATCCATGAAAAGTTGATAGCTGGAAAAGAACAATGAAAATACCCCATGGTTAGAAGTAAAGGAAGCTCCAAAACTGTTGTCAGGAACTCGATGGAAATATATGGGTATGGCATCGCCATGGTGAATGTTATCACGATGATTGTGTTGTGCAGATTAATCGATGGGGAGGCGGAAGTGTGATGGTTTGGGGCGATAGCCGTTTTATGCACAGAACACAGCTCCATGTATGCAAAGGTCATATTAATGCAGTTTACTACAGGGACGCCATTTTAAGACCTCAGGCTGTGGTCTATTTCTGCAACACCAAGAGCTACATACTTTCCAACGCCAGAACACATACAGCACGTGCTTCTGTGGACTTCCTGGCACAGAATAACGGACCTGTTATGCTAGGCCTGCATTATTTCCTCTACATTAAAATTGAGTACTTTCCAATGACACTTGTCTTTACTAATGTGGAACTGAGTTATCTGAGTGTGATTGTAGTACACAGCCAACACCATATAAAATTTGGTTTAGCGTCAATTTCACTTTTTTTGCGTTTTCATTGCGTTACAGTCAAGGTGATTTCTATCTTACTGACAACAGAACCCAAAAACAGGAAGAGCTCAGAATGCTTCACTTCATATTATAGCATTGCATGCAGTGTTACACTACGATGTTAAAATGACCCTGACATTGTTCCACAGGTTTAACATTCTACTTCAAGATAAACGATGTACCGGTTTTCTTCAAGGGATCAAATTGGATCCCTGCGGACAATTTTCAGGAAAATATTAATAAAAAAAGACTGCGCCGTCTGCTCCAATCAGCTGCTGAAGTCCACATCAACTCAATGAGGGTTTGGGGAGGAGGGGCAAGTATAATATTATTACCGGTAGTTAATAAAAAAAAGTTACAAGTTATCCATGTTGGGCTAATCAAGCTATTATTTTTGCATCTTTTTTCGATAAACGTAAAAAGAATTGCAATGCCCACTCGTGGACAACTTTAGTAGGCTGTGTGGTGTTCTTGCCTTGAACGATGTCACTGATTTTGTATCGTTGTCTACAGTTTCTTGTGTTAATAATTAGGTATGCAGTTAGTTTATAAAAATTGTCTTCACTATTTGTTGGCGTTGATCATGTTTATAGAGATATAATTGTATAAACCGGAATGCACAGCATAATTTCTTAAATTACTTCCATGCATATCTACAAATCAAAGAATATGGAATAAGATATGTTTGTAATTTTTGGGGTGCCATGATGCAATATGCCTTTTTTAAGTCAATTGTTTGCCAGGGTTGGACACTGGTTCCAAAATCATGACAGAAACTTTAATGTAGTTTTGTTTGGCATATTACCTTTGCAGGTTTATGAATCGGAAGATTTTTATGATATCGCGGACGAGTTTGGCATCATGATCTGGCAGGACCTGATGTTTAGTGTCGCACTCTATCCCACTACTCCAGACTTCCTTAGTACCGTGTCACAAGAAATCACACACCAGGTATGACACAAGGATTTATAACATACATCACACATTAGAATAACATATAGCACATATGTATCTCACTCTAGAATAACATATAACCCACATTACAAATATCACACACAAGGATAACATATATCGCACTCTAGGATAACATATATCACACACTAGGATAATATATATCACACACTAGGATAATGTATATCACACAATAGGATAATGTATATCACACACTAGGATAATGTATATCACACACTAGGATAATATATATCACACTCTAGGATAACATATATCACACACTAGGATAATATATATCACACACTAGAATAATGTATTTCACACACTAGGATAATGTATATCATACAATAGGATAATGTATATCACACACTAGGATAACATATATCACACTCTAGGATAACATATATCACACTCTAGGATAACATATATCACACACTAAGATAATGTATTTCACACACTAGGATAACATATATCCACTTGGATAACATATATCAGCTAGGATAACATATATAACACTAGGATTACATATACATGTATCAAACACTAGGATAACATATCACACGCTAGGATAACATATATCCAACACTAGGATAACATATGTCAGACGTTAGGATAATGTATATCACACACTAGGATAACGTATATCACACACAAGGATTTCATATATCACACACTACACTTGGATAATGTACATAACATTTGGATATTGTATATAGCACACTAGGATAACATATCACACTAGGATAATTAGGATAACATATCACACACTAGGGTAATTAGGATAACATATATCACACACTAGGATAACATATAGCACACACTAGGATATCATATAGCACACTCTAGGATAATATATATCACATACTAGGATAATGTGTAGCACACACTAGGATAACATATATCACACACTAGGATAACATACACACTAGGATAAAATACATTACACACTAGGATAATATATAGCACACACTAGGATCACATATATCACACACTAGGATAACATATAGCACACACTAGGATATCATATAGCACACTCTAGGATAATATATATCACATACTAGGATAATGTATAGCACACACTAGGATAACATAGCACACACTAGGATAACATACGCACTAGGTTAAAATACATTACACACTAGGATAATGTATAGCACACACCAGGATAACATATATCACACACTAAGATAACATACACACTAGGATAAAATACATTACACACTAGGATAACATAGCACACACTAGGATAACATATATCACACACTTAGATAACATATCACACACTAGAATAACATAACACCAGAGCACAACATTTTTATAAATGAATAAGCTGATAAATTTGGACACACACACATTTAGTTTTTACCCGGATTGTTACAAAACAAGTTTTCAAGTTTAAATACCCAAATGTCAAGAAACAGGTGGGTATAAAAACTTTGAATACCCTCGAAAAACTGTGCATACCTTATCACAATCAAACCCCTGGGTAAAATACACAAATAACCAAAAGCTTGTCTAGAGCTCTGTAACCGGGGTAACTCTCTGCTAGAGTCAGAGAGCTGACACAGCCAGAATTAAATTGCCTGTCCTTGCAAGTCTGGTTTAGACAGATTCAACTGATTGTTGTTTCACGCAGCACTAAGCAATATTCCAATATATGACAGTGGTCTGTAAATAATTGAGGCTGGACCAGACAATCCAATGATCAACATCAATTCACGCATTTGGGATACAAAGACATGTAATCAACCAAGACTTTGAGCCAGACCACCCTATCCATTTAGTTGCCCCTGACAACAACACACAGGTTGCTGGGGGCCGATATATTTACCCAGAATTCCAAAGGGTACCGATTCCACTGTAGTTGTCGGTTGTCAGAAAATAATGATAATTGAAGCTCATGTGAAACAAACTGATGGGTGTTATTCGCTGATACAGTGTTTTCTAGAATGACATGTTGCTGGCGTTTATCCACAGGTTCGACGAATCAGGCATCATCCGTGCATAGTACTGTGGGCAGGAAATAATGAGAATGAGAAAGGACTAAGACAGGACTGGTGGGTATGAGAGAGACATGAAGAATCTGCCGTTATATCCCCTCATCCTCTGTTAATCCGTTATAAATGGCGCCATATGTCATACAAGGGGCTACAGATCACCTTATTGGACTAGACCTGTGAAGATCCGGGGTAGAATAGGTCTTCAGCAACCCATGCTGTAAAAGGCGACTATGCTTGTCATGAGAGGCGACTAATGGGATCAGGTGGTCAGGCTCGCTGACTTGATTGATGCATGTCATCGTATCCCAATTTTCGAGATGGATGCTCATGATTTCAATCACTGGATTGTCATGTCCAGACTCGATTATTTACAGACCGCCGTCATATAGGTGGAATATTGCTGAGTGCTGCATTAAACAACAAACAAACAAACTTCTTGAATTGACACTCCGTGGTCTAATGGGTAGAGTTCTGTTTGTGTTAACGATTAAGTAAGCAGTCTGTGAAGTTATTATTGTTGACATACTTATAAGACTTGACCAGTATGTATTTGCACATCTTCCCGAGGCAAGAGAGTTAACTGACTTTAAAAGTCCAGTTTCCACCCTTGCCGAACTAGGCTGGAATTACTGGGCTCGATCGTAGCGCCACTAGTTATGTCCCTTCTAAGCCTCTCCTATGGACCAATCAGATTCCACCTCTCGTATCACTTGCATTTGCTTCACACAAAAAGGTGGGACCCAGTCAGCACGATCTGATCGATAATCAAGATCTATATTGTGATAAAACGAGTCTTACATCACGAAATGCATCAGATCACGTGAGCACCTTGATTAAAAACAGGAATCGATTTGGAAAATATCTGCTGACGAGTTGGTGGTGCACATGCTTTGCAAATCCTGCAATTTGACTGAAATCTGCACGACAGTTTACGAACTGGATTTCAATTTCGGTGCACGATTTTGATTGGACTATGCATAGACTCGTTAGTCCAGCCAAAATGAACTCCATAATACCAGCCTAGTTCGGAAAGTGTGGAAACTGGACTTTTATAGTCAGTTAAGTCCCTTGCCTCGGGAAGATGGTATTTGCATTTATGGAGGTATTAATGAAGAAAACAGTGTGCACACTTGTATAAATTGTATACATAGTTTGCACACAGATTTTTACATTAATACCTCCATCAACGCAAAAAATATTGAAGTCAGTCCTTTAGTAGTATTTTGCAAAGTAACCTGAAACATATACATCGAATGTAGAAACATGCTTGAACGAAAGCAGGGGCAAACTACCAAGTTTACAACTGCTTATTTTCTAGCCCACATAATAACATTCGCTTGGATGGAATGGGGATTCAAAGTAAGAATATAGGTCCCAAACAACCTGTACTTGTTGGTCGGTGGTCTAGCTCGGTGAGTTGGTTGATTGCATGACCTGGTAACACATTTGCACCTCAATTGCATGGATTGATGCTCATGTAAATCACTGGATTGTCTGGTCTATACTCATTTGCATGGATTGATGCTTATGATGTCAATCATTTGATTGTCTGTTCCAGACTCGATTACTTTCAGACCATCGTCATGTAGCTGGAATATTGTTTGGCGTGGTGTTAAACAACAAACAAAATTTTCTTAAAACGGACAACTGCAGACAATTGAAGTCATGTGGATTTCAGGTATGACGTCCACTTACACTACAAGCGCTACTACGATGACTACGTCAAGTTGTACGTGACAACGCTCAAGACTATCGTCAACAAGGAAGACTCGACCCGGGTGTATCTGTCATCGAGCCCCAGTGATGGCCAGGAGACAGAGAAAGAGGGCTGGGTAGCCAAGGACCCTGGCTCCGAGCTGTATGGCGACAGTAAGTCATCAAAATTACCGTGCGACCAGACCCCATGTGACCTGATCAGCTGATATTCCCTGCACCCTCATTCTTTGTCTAATCGCTTGATGCGGACGTACCAGACCACCAGAGAATTATAGATATTTTTTGGTAAGGTTTACCTGTCTCCGTATTACAACTGCAATAGACACATAACACTAGGGTTATGGAGCAGTGATGGCAAGGCTGGGTAGCTAAGGACCCTGGCTCCGAGCTGTATGGCGACAGTAAGTCATCAAAATAAACTTGTCATATATATATTCCTTGACTTTCACACTTCCGTTTTCAAAATGTAGCATAGCTTATAAGTGTGTTTCATTAAATTGAAAAAAAATATAATTTCAAATTAGAGTATATATCTCCACCACTGCAATCCCGTGCGGCCCGACCCCATGTGACCTGATCAGCTGATATTCCCTGCACCCTCATTCTCTGTCTAATCGCTTGATACGGACGTACTAGATCACAAGAGAATGATACATAATTTTTTTGTGAGGTTTACCTGTCTCCGTATTACAACTGCTACAGACACATAACACTAGGGTTATGGAGCCGTTATGCCCGTTTTGCAAATATTTCAAATGTATTTTTTCTCCTCGTGACCCTCACATCGTTTGCTGTGACTGCCATGGTGTGAGTTCTTTCAACAATCAATGTCAGCAATGTCGTCTTCCTCACTGTCCTCGCGTTACTTAGCACCTAACGGGATCGGGGGTTAGGTCTTGCTGACTTGGTTGATGCATGTCATCGTATCCCAATTGAATGGATCGATGCTCATGAATTCAATCACTGGATTGTCTGGTCGTGACTTGATTATTTACAGACCGCCGTCATATAGCTGGAATATTGCTGAGTGCATCGTTAAACAACAAACAAACAAACAAACTTTGCACCATCATTTGCACAGGAGACGTCCCCATTCATCTAGACCATCGTCGATACCCCCTCTTCATATTCCTTGGGAGGTACTGTCAATGGATAGTGCTCCTATTTGGAATTTCTACGGCGCCATTGTTATTCACCCATATCACCAATGGTGTTATTTTTGGGGTATTTAATTACATTTGATGATAAGGTTAGTGCTTCATTAATAATGGTGCAACATTAGTCTAATTATACTTACACATTCAGGAGAATGTTGGAATCTAAGGACTAAGTTATAAGTTAGATAGGGCCATCCATTTCTCTATTACCTCTTTTTTATAAAGTACGATTTCATCATTTCTTATGGGTTTTTTTATAACTAAACGTATACAGTTTCTTTATCGATATTTGTGTTGGAATAGTTTGGTTCCTCATGAACAAAACACCACAAAAATATATTATCCTTACCCACAGCTAGTTCTCACCAAGTGACCTGAGTTACAGTAAACTAGTGCTAAGCATAGCAGAGTTATGCCCCCTTTTCTTTCTACGTGTGTAACCTCTCTGTCACCTTTTGACGTCATAGAGAAAAATCAGTTTTCGTCATTTACGGTATGCTGTTTTTGGCATTGAATGTATGTCGTTATACATACGCATATAACTCCATTTGATATATATGTCGTTCAGATATTAGGCAGTATTTTGTTCGCTAACAGTTTCCGTAAAGCTTCTAAATAAAAAAAATCGCCGCACAGTACTTTTATCGGTGTACGATAAAAAGGGGAGAAATTTACTGTTTTTCAAGGCAGAAAAAACGGTTTAATATTTGCAGTTAACTTTACACCATCAAATAGGAAATTTAATATTCTCAACCTCTGCATAATTTTATAACCAGAGGTAGATCCAGTGCCACGTGAGCGCAATTCTCGCACAACCTTAACTTTTCCGATCTTAGGAAAATGTGCGTCAGAAAAAAAATTGGGCATCCAGAGGGTTAAGATGGTGACCATAGTGATGAACGGGATGTGTTGGGGTGAGGTGTTTATTGAAGCTGGAAACTTTGTTCTAGGATCGTTTACATACCAGGATCATAGAAGAAGGATAAAAATGCATAATGTGAGATAGGATATGTATATAAATATACAATGTTGTTAATGCCTATGTTTTTAGCAACTTGTATTTTTTTGCTGAACAGTTCACTTCTACGACTACATCTCAGACCTATGGAAGGACTCAAATTACCGCATCCCGCGATTCGCCTCGGAGTACGGGATCCAGGCCTGGTGTGACATCGAGACCCTGGAAGATGTGTTTGACTCGGGGGACTTCGACTACTGGGGTCCAATGTCTTATCACAGAAATCATCATCCTCTTGGTCAGTTTATAGTAACAGGATAAAATAATATATTTTAGCATAATTTGCAATATCATAAGGGTAGCGCCAGTTTTCAGGACATTATTATTTCAGAAGCCTGAGATCTGTCATTAACTGCACGGATTTAATATGTATATATACTCAATGGCTAAAAGATTGTCTGGCGCTCATCAAACCTTTCCATTGTATTGTTTACAGGTAATATTGAGATGATAGAAGAAATAGTCCTACATTTCAACGAACCCATTAATCCAGATTACAAACAGAAATTCAGTGACATCATCTACTTAACACAGGTGAGTGAAGTGAATGTGATGAATAATTGTTTTCTGTTTTATTGCCACACTCAGCAATATTCTAGCTATACGATGACATCCCATGGATAATTGAGCCTGGACCAGACAAACTGGAGATTGATATCATGAGCAACATCCCACACCATTGGGAATGCTGACACACGATTAACAAAGTCACTGATCCTGACTATCCGATCCGTTAAGTTAGAAGTGGTCCTCAGCAACCTATGTTTGTCATACACGGCAACTTAATAATGATGATGAATTGAGTCACGCTCCAACACCATCTATATTTAGCTTAACTCCTTTGTTAAAAGCAGATTGAAAAAGATGAAAACTCTTCACAAGTGGCAGACTGCACAGCACGCTTGTCTGCCTGCTTGTCTGTCTGCATGCTTGCCTGTCTGCATGTCTGCACGCTTGTCTGCCTGCTTGTCTGTCTGCACGCTTGCCTGTCTGCATGTCTGCCTGCTTGTCTGTCTGCATGTCTGCCTGCTTGTCTGTCTGCACGCTTGCCTGTCTGCTTGTCTGTCTGCATGTCTGCCTGCTTGTCTGTCTGCACGCTTGCCTGTCTGCTTGTCTGTCTGCTTGTCTGTCTGCACGCTTGCCTGTCTGCATGTCTGCACGCTTGTCTGCCTGCTTGTCTGTCTGCACGCTTGCCTGTCTGCATGTCTGCCTGCTTGTCTGTCTGCATGTCTGCCTGCTTGTCTGTCTGCACGCTTGCCTGTCTGCATGTCTGCCTGCTTGTCTGTCTGCACGCTTGCCTGTCTGCTTGTCTGTCTGCAGGTCTGCATGCTTGTCTGTCTGCTTGTCTGTCTGCACGCTTGTCTGACTGCATGTCTGCACGCTTGTCTGCCTGCTTGTCTGTCTGCACGCTTGTCTGCCTGCTTGTCTGTCTGCACGCTTGCCTGTCTGCATGTCTGCACGCTTGTCTGCCTGCTTGTCTGTCTGCACGCTTGTCTGTCTGCCTGCTTGTCTGTCTGCCTGCTTGTCTGTCTGCACGCTTGTCTGCCTGCTTGTCTGTCTGCACGCTTGCCTGTCTGCATGTCTGCACGCTTGTCTGCCTGCTTGTCTGTCTGCACGCTTGTCTGTCTGCCTGCTTGTCTGTCTGCCTGCTTGTCTGTCTGCACGCTTGCCTGTCTGCAGGTCTGCAGGCTTGTCTGCCTACTTGTCTGTCTGCACGCTTGCCTGTCTGCATGTCTGCACGCTTGTCTGTCTGCACGCTTGTCTGTCTGCACGCTTGTCTGTCTGCCTGCTTGTCTGTCTGCACGCTTGCCTGTCTGCAGGTCTGCAGGCTTGTCTGCCTACTTGTCTGTCTGCACGCTTGCCTGTCTGCAGGTCTGCAGGCTTGTCTGCCTACTTGTCTGTCTGCACGCTTGCCTGTCTGCATGTCTGCACGCTTGTCTGCCTGCTTGTCTATCTGCACGCTTGTCTGCCTGCTTGTCTGCACGCTTGTCTATCTGCTTGTCTGCCTGCTTGTCTGCACGCTTGCCTGTCTGCAGGTCTGCAGGCTTGTCTGCCTACTTGTCTGTTTGCACGCTTGCCTGTCTGCATGTCTGCACGCTTGTCTGCCTGCTTGTCTGCCTGCTTGTCTGCACGCTTGTCTGCCTGTTTGTCTGCACGCTTGTCTATCTGCACGCTTGTCTATCTGCACGCTTGTCTATCTGCACGCTTGTCTGCCTGCACGCTTGTCTATCTGCACGCTTGTCTATCTGCACGCTTGTCTGCCTGCTTGTCTATCTGCACGCTTGTCTATCTGCACGCTTGTCTGCCTGCTTGTCTATCTGCACGCTTGTCTATCTGCACGCTTGTCTATCTGCACGCTTGTCTATCTGCACGCTTGTCTGCCTGCTTGTCTATCTGCACGCTTGTCTATCTGCACGCTTGTCTATCTGCACGCTTGTCTATCTGCACGCTTGTCTGCCTGCTTGTCTGCACGCTTGTCTATCTGCTTGTCTGCACGCTTGTCTGCCTGCTTGTCTGCCTGCTTGTCTGCACGCTTGTCTATCTGCTTGTCTGCCTGCTTGTCTGCACGCTTGCCTGTCTGCATGTCTGCACGCTTGCCTGTCTGCATGTCTGCACGCTTGTCTGCCTGCTTGTCTGCACGCTTGTCTATCTGCACGCTTGTCTGCCTGCATGTCTGCACGCTTGTCTGCCTGCTTGTCTATCTGCACGCTTGTCTGCCTGCTTGTCTCCATGCATCACCCTTTCTTTACCTGAAACTAGTTTAATTTTATGCTTCATTAATTAGAAGATAGTTAGCAAGTTAGCAAATCAGATGTGACCTCACAGCTCCAACACCACCCACTTTAGCGGAACTCCCTGGTTAATAGCAGATTGCTTGTCTGTCTGCTGGTCTGCATGCAACACCCTTTCTTTACGTGAAACTAGTTTAATATTTTATGCTTCACAATTAATTAGAAGAGTGTTAGCAAGTTAGCAAATCAGATGTGACCTCATCATGGCTGTTTTCTCAAGACCCCATGTTACAGATCATTATGCACTTCCAGTCTGATGTCCTTATCATTGAATTGGAAAACTTCAATCCTCAGACCAGTTTAAAGTACCTTGCCCCCAGCTAGCTAGCCTATAGTCTGGAAGGTAATTTAAGGTACCAATGTTTACTACAATATCTGAAAAACTATCGGACCTACTCCAGTCAAAGTTGGTATGAGATTATTAAACAGTCATACATAACTGGATATTACATTTAAAGACAATCGGTGCATGAATAAAAAATCTGTCTATTTAGCTATCACTATATTTCATCAACAACCAGACCTGTTCGTCATGGGTGGAACGAGCATTCATTGAAACAGCCATCTGCATAATGCTACCCCAGGGCCATATGACACAGTTGAACTAATCAACTCAACTCGAAAGGGTGCACGGGAATCACGCACGCACGTATACGGTGTTAGCGTTGGGCGTCTCAACGAGCATGATACGACTGGAGTAGCTCTGATAATTTTCAGATATTGTAGTAATCGTCGGTACCTTAAATTACCTTCCAGACTATAAATGGGAACATAACAGCATTTCCAATCTAAAGTCAGACTGCAAAACATATGACACCTTCCACCTAAAACTCCCATGACACTTGCCTTTTTAATAATTGAATTTTTGTTGTTTAATGCTGCATTCCAGCTATATGACAGTGGTCTGCTATTAATCTGTTAATTAGGTCTGGACCAGTGATTGACATCATGAGCATCTATCTACGCAATTGGGATACGATAACATGCGTTAATCAAGTCACTGAGTCTGACCACCCTGTTAGTGTCCTCGTACGACAAGCATGGGTTGCTGAAGACCAATTCTAACCTGTACATGACATGTGCTACCTAAATAAAGACATTTTATGCAATTTCATTTCTGGTTTCATGATATCATTCCAGTTTGGGGCGGTGGGGTAGCCTTGTGGTTGGAGCGTTTGCCCATCAATCCAAGGGCCAGGGTTTAATTCCCCACATGGGTAGAATGTGTGAAGCCCATGCCTGGTGTGTATCTGTGATATTCCTGGAATATTGCTAAAATCAGCGTAAAACCCTGCTCACTCACTCATTCCAGTTTGGGAAATCTCCTATTTAAAGCAGTACAACTTTTAAACAGGTCATATTCCTCTAGCTAGGAAAGTAAGAATGACATGTATCAAGAGTCATTGACCTGACCTTGACCCGTGACATGACTGGCAATACCTCAATAACTTTCCAAAGGTCACTTTGGTTTTATAACCAATATTTGGGAGTGATGGTCAACATTCTGACAAAACCTTAAAGCAAGCTCATGTAAACAGGGCTGCTGAACTATTGCTGTTGGAGTTAGTGAGTGAGTGAGTGGGTTTTTGATGCCACATTTCCTAATATTCCATTATCACAGTGGGGAAACCTATCAGTCATGCATATATTGATTTTTATATTAAAGAAACATTCTGGACACTTCTTGAAATCTTGATTTATCTTGCAGATCAACCAGGCTGTTTCAATACAGACTCAGAGTGAGCACTACCGCCGCTGGCAGAACGCCATGACATCAGATGGGCGGGGACAGACTATGGGCGCCCTCTACTGGCAGCTCAATGACATCTGGCAGGCCCCAACCTGGGCTGGCATAGGTCAGTTACATGTCTGTAGTTTCATTGCTGTTGAATGTCCTGCATTATTTTTTCTCAGATTATAGCTATCTTTTACTGGATTTGACAGAAATGTTGAATTATGTTCAAAAGGGGATTTAGCAGGGTTCAAAATTAACATAAGACAAGTCTAAGACAAGTTAAATTCAAGAAATACTTGTTTTATTGTCCAAACTCAGACTACACAGGCAAATGGAAGATGCTGCACTACTATGCTCGGAAGTTCTTTGCTCCCATTCTTATCTCCCCCTTCATTGATGGCAACTTCCTCAACATCTACATGGTGGTGGACGAGATCCCCCTGACCGAGGTCAAGGACACCAAGACCGGCATGAACGTCTTCACCCCTGCTAACAGCTTCATCAGCCTCCTCCAGTCCAACTTCCCCCGTGAAGAGGCCGTGCATCTGATGACGAAGACAGCCGAGGCCACCACAGGAGTTCTCTACATTCAGATGTACCGATGGGACAGCTTCACCCCTCTCAGGACATGGAACGTGACATACAAGGTAAAGAAGTCTATTCATCCTATAAATGTAATCTCTTTTCTTTCTGACTCATCAGATTTTTGTTAGCAGCGTGTCTGCTAATGTGGGAGGAAAGCACAAAGTGATGCAGGTCTCAGACGTTAACTACTTCGGTGAAACCCACGAGCACTGGTATGGTGCTTACAAGCCTAGAAACATAATCGGGGCGAGCCAGGATTCGAACCCACAATCATAGGTTCCTGGCATGCCCAAGGGACGCAACTCTGCACAGAAAATCACAGCGCCTTAGACTGGGACACCCGTGCCACCTCAGATTATTGTTATATCAGATTGTGAGTGTGTGAAGAAGTTCATACCTAATGGTACAACCGGTATGTGTGGTGTCGCTCAAGACATCAATCACTGGATTGTCTGGTCCAAAGCAGGCAGACAAACGTGCCGTGCTGTGTGCCACATATGGACAGTTTTCATCTTTTTCAATCTGCTTTTAACCGGGGAGATCCGCTAATGTGGGTGGTGTCGGAGCTTGGTTCAAATCAATTCATCATCATTAAGTTGCCTTGTATGACAAACATAGGTTGCTGAGGACCAACTTCCCCCTTAACTGATCGGATGGTCAGGATCTGTGACTTCGTTAATCATTAGTCAGCATTCCCAATGGTGTGGGATGTTGCTCATAATATCAATCTCTGGTTTGGTCCAGGCTCAATTATCCATGGGATGCCATCATATAGCTGGAATATTGCTGAGTATGGCAATAAAACAGAAAACAATTATTCATCACATTCACTTCACTCACCTGTGTTAAGTAGATGATGTCACTGAATTTCTGTTTATAATCTGGATTAATTGGTTCGTTGAAATGTAGAACTATTTCTTCCATCATCTCAATATTACCTGTAAACTATGGAAATGTTTGATAAGAGCCAGACAATCTTTGAGCCATCATATAGCTGGAACATTGCTGAGTGTGGCATAAAACAACAAACATAACACTCCTAATCTGATAAAGGTGTAAAAACTACCTGAATTTACTGAAGACAGTGCGATTTGGTTTGCAGCTGAAAAAGTCGTCCCAGTCAGTTTTCAAGCAAGATATTGACACTCTGGTGAGTGCCACCGGTTGTCCAGGCAGGTCCAGCTGCTTCCTCTACATGTACCTGAACGACCCAGCTAGCGGCATCAACGCATACGTCCCCCTCACATACTACAACAGCGTCACTGGACTCGCCAAGGCTCAAGTTATGGTATGTTGTGCTATCAGACTATATGGCGGAGGATGTTAGCTCCGCATTTAGGGGATAAACCAAGGACTGGTCGGCTCGTCAGTAGAATGTGTCTGATTGGGGTTTTCCATGCTAAACTGTAGAGTGGTAACACAGGGTTAGGGTTAGTACTATAAAACCGGCATAAGCCCGGATCAGTACAAGCAGACACACTGACAATTGCACAGTGATCTTCACTGTGTGAGTAAAATAAACTTGAACATAGAGATTATTACATTAGTTTCGTAAAATCAGTATGACACACACGCGAGTGTAACTATTTCTTAATCCCTTAGTTCACCTTCAGAAAAATGCACTGACCGCCGTCTTAGAAAACCACAATTGTTGAATGATGTCAACAATCTTTAGTTATGACCTCTTTTCTAGTGTGATTCGGACCTTACATCACAATAGGATTCGAACGACGTCAACAATGGCGGCCAGATGATGTAAACCATACACTGGTGTGCGTGAAGTGATATTTGCACATGATTTTTATGAACTCGGTTATTTCAAACCCTATGGATAATAAATGACATTAAACTCCATTTCACCACGCTTATGTTTCCTCTCAATTGCCTTGCAGGTAACTGATGTTACGATGATGACGAACACAGAGTTTGAAGTCACTGTTGGATCTAATCGCATCGCTCCATTTGTTTGGTTGGACGCGATCGGCATCCCCGGCAGATTCTCTGACAATGGATTTCTCATGATGGCGCCTTCTCGTATAGTCATCTTCACCTCATGGGACCCTGTGGACCTGGAAACTGTAAAAAGATCATTGAAAACTAAATCTTTAATGGATATTCAGTTTTCCTGAAAATGAGATAATACTGTTTTCAGACAAATTAAAATATTTTTGTAAAAATTTAGCATTACAAATTATTATGCTTATAAACAAAGTTTGTTTAAACATGAACCCACATTGCGATGTCATGTTACGACTATCCCCCCGATACTATACGATCAGAATACAATATGTATAGCGGTAAGGAAGAGAATATATATATGTCAACTTCTTTATTATGAGGAACACATCATATATGCTTACTCCTTCATCAGGTGAATGAATGCCATGAGGCATATATATGTACATGTAAGGACAACAAAAGTAATAAGATAACATGATGTAGTAACTAACAAGGGAAGCCAACACATAGCGCTGAAGGTATGACAGCCAGTACTTAAGTTACCATAGATAAGTAATAGGTAATGGACAATGGGCAAATGGGGAACCGGGTGTAATTAGCACTGATAGGTGAAAGAATGGACACAGCAAAGGGCAAATTGAAGCCAGCTTGGTAATTAGCACTGACAAAGATCAAAGCAATAAGTCCCAAGCACTAGGCAGGTTCCCTGGTCACGGTTCATGGCTGGCTGGTGTCTCCTGATGTCAATGGCTTCTTGTAGTTTTCTTTGTCGCCAGTTATTGTTGTTGGTAGACAGGACTTTGGTGGCTTCCCACATGATGTTATGGGTTTGGTTCTTCAGGATGTGTTCGGAAATAGCGGATTTCAGGTTGAGTTTGTTAAAAGAGGTCCGATGTTCTTTGAGTCTGGTGTTGAGGGGTCTAAGGGTTTCTCCAGTGTACTGGTGGCCACAGTTGCAGGGGATTTGGTATATACATCCTCGGGGCCAACATAGATGTCACCTTCTCTCAATCCTTCCATCAAGACCATTGGCCATCTGCAAGCCAATGGCAGAGGCACAAGCAGCGGAAGTCGCAACCCCCGAGGATGTATATACCAGATACCCTGCACCTGTTGCCACCAGTACATTTGAGAAACCCTAAGACACCTCAATATGGGGCTATCTTGGGATGTCTGAGGGTATCTGGAGGGTATCTGGGGGTGTCTGAGGGTATATGGGGGTGTTTGAGGGTATATGGTGGTGTTTGAGGGTATGTGGGGGTGTTTGAGGGTATGTGGGGGTGTTTAAGGGTATATAGGAGTGTTTGAGGGTATATGGGGGTGTTTGAGTGTATATGGGGGTGTCTGAGGGTATCTGGGGGTGTCTGAGGGTGTTTGAGGGTATCTGGGGGCGTCTGAGGGTATAGGGGGGTGTTTGAGGGTATCTAGAGGTGTTTGAGGGTATATGGGGGTGTTTGAGGGTATCTAGAGGTGTTTGAGGGTATATGGGGGTGTTTGAGGGTATCTGGGGGTGTTTGAGGGTATGTGGGCGTGTTTGAGGGTATATGGGGGTGTTTGAGGGTATCTGGGGGTGTCTGAGGTGTCATGGGGTATTCATGTCTAACTGTGGCATGGCATCTTATTGGACCAGCACTAATACAATACCAGCTCTGTGAACACAATAGAGTCCTGACTGTTACAAGCAACCACACATACTTTTATTCACCTGGCTATGTTAGTGAAATAATCACATTGAATCCCATGTTGACATCACCTCATTATACTTCAGTTAGGACAGTTGGGAATGGAGTGATGTTTGAAAGTCCTGCTATAGACTTCTTAGGACAGGTGAGGTGAAATGGGGTTTAATCTCAAGATTATTGAACTTATATAGCGACAGTGTGTGTATGTGTGCGTGTGCGCCTACGCCTGCGAGCATGCACGCTTGTACTAGTCAAGACTCATGCCAATTTCATAGTGCTAGCCCACTGAGATGCCATGCTGCAGTTTGAGATACCAGTCAGGGTTTAACTTGAATCACACTCAGACACTGAGGAGAACCATACTCATTACTCCCATATTTGAGCATAGAATGACAATAATCGTACCAAGAACAATGTGTGAATCGGTCTGGTTCTTCTTTTCACATGTGTACAAATCACCCATGCCATTCTTGCAGGGCAGATACGGCAGTGTGGTACCTTAGACACGTACACAACTTCGGAATCATCGTCTTGTTAACATTCAGCTTCTTTTAAAATTCCAAATCAAGTTCTTCCTATTGTAAATATCCTACAGACATTATCCCTGAACTTTCTGCCAGGAAGACCGTCTTTCAGTCTCATCAGGACCTCTCACTAACTTGTTCTGGGGGCACCAGGTGGCCCAGTCGTCTAAGGCGCCGCAATTCGTTGTGCAGAGCTGCATCCCTTGGGCACGCCAGAAACCTATGATTGTGGGTTCGAATCCCAGTTCACCACGATTATGTTTCTAGGTTTGTCAGCACCATACCTGTGCTCATGGGTTTCACCGAAGTGGTAAACGTCTGACACCTGCATCACTTTGGGCTTTCCTCCCACATCAAGCTGACACTCCGCGATATAACTGGAATATTGCTAAAAGCAGAATTAAACCCAACTCACTCACTCACTCACAACTCACTCACTCACTCACTCACTCATTAAATTGTTCTCAAACAGATCTGCCTCAAAGTTCACAACCTTCTGTAGAATTGAAAAAAAAATAATTCTTATATAGATAAACTTTAGTTTCAAACTCACAATTCCCTGCTCCTAATGGCTATGTTCAATTTCTCCACAACCTTCCTTGCAATCCACTGAACCACTGACATGGGGGATGAGCTGGGTTTAACGTGTGAAGGTAAAGGTTTTCTACATACAAGCATAGTGCACTGATAGAATTTCAATAGTAGCCCAATAGTTAATTTTTTTAATCACAGAAAGCACCAAAACAATTTCCAAAATTATAAGAAATCTCTGTGGCTGAGGGTAGACATGGGTGGCCCAGTAGTCTAAGGGGCTGCAATTAGCTGTGTAGAGTTGCATCCCTTGGGCACTCCAGAAACCTATAATTGTAGTTACCATTCCCGGACGCCCGATGATGTTCCTTGGGTTGTCAACACCAGACCAATGCTCTACGGTTTCACCAAAGTGGTAAATGTTTGAGACCTCTTCACCTCAGGCTTTCCTCCCACATCAAGCTGCCTCGGGTATTATAACTAAAATAGGCGTTAAACCCAACTCACTCACTAACACTAAGGCTAAGGTGGTTTTGTGTAACATGACCCAGGTCATTCTTCGTTCCTGTGTGGAGAAGACGTATCAGCATGGATGCTTAAGCTTGGAAGGACATAGATACCTCCTTGTTTGTTTGGTCGTATGAATTAACTACCAAAACCTTTTCATAATCATGAGAAATTTCTATATCATAAGCATCTGGTTTTGAGTCACTATCAAACAGTGATGATACCAGGTGTTCATGAACAATTGTGATACTATTGCCATACCTAAAACCCTAGAACAGTTGAATATTATTCCTTCATTCAGTTACACCAATTAGGTCTAATGCACTGGTATCGTCCTCCCATTCAGGCTTTCTGAAGTCTTTTTGAAGTCACTTAGGACCCCTACCTTGAGCCTATCCATGAAGACTGCCTCTGTGGTCCAGTGGTAGAGTGTCCGTCCGGAGAGCCATACCAAAAGAGTGAGTGAGTTGGGTTTAACGCCGCTTTTAACAGTATTCCAGTTATATCACGGCGTGTCAGCTTAATGTGGTAGGAAAGCCCGAAGCGATGCAGGTCTCAGACGTTTACCACTTCGGTGAAACCCACGAGCACGGGTATGGTGCTGACAAACCTAGAAACATAATCGGGGCGAACCGGGATTCGAACCCACAATCATAGGTTTCTGGCGTGCCCAAGGGACGCAACTCTGCACAGCGAATCGCGGTGCCTTAGACGACTGGGCCACCCGTGCCCCCCCCCCCCCCCCCCCACACACACACACACACACACACACCAAAAGACGTTAAAAGATGGTACTTGTTGTTACCCTGTCTGGCGCTCAGCATTAATGTGCTAAAACAAGGACTGGTCGGCTTTGAGTCAGTATATTGTGTCTGATTGGGGTATTCATGTTAAACTCAGTGTGCTAGCGCTATAAATAAGCATCAGTCCGGACTAGTACAAGCACACACACACACACACACACACACACACACACACACACACACACAGGTCGCTATATAAGTGCAATAACCTTTGATGCGACCTTAAATCCCATTTCACCTCACCTCACCTTTCCATGACACTTCTCAAAAGAAGTTGAGGACTACCCTGATTCCTTCATATTACTGTAGTTAATCTGTCATGGCATAGACCCATGATTACGGGTAGAATAGGTCTTCAGCAACCCATGCTTGCTGTAAAAGGTGACTATGCTTGTTGTAAAAGCGACTAACGGGATCGGGTGGTCAGGCTCGCTGACTTGGTTGATGCATGTCATCGATACCAATTGCGTGGATCGATGCTCATGATATTAATGACTGGATTGTCTGGTCCAGACTCGATTATTTTCAGACCACCGTCATATAGCTGGAATATTGCTGAGTGCAGTGTTAAACAACCAACCAACCGACCGTCATGGCATAACAGAATAATTGTCGTAATTTGAAAGAATCAGGTAGTCCTCAACGTCTTTTGAGTAGTATATATTGACATTCAAAGACCGGAAATGTTTATCATATTTGAGATGACATGTTTTTATATACATGTTGAATACTTTTTATTTGTTGACAACCACATCCCACAACAGCTACATCAAAACATTTTATTTCTGCAAAAATCTGTTAACATAATTTAGAATGTGATTACCATATCAGAAGTACCACATCTATATTTTTTACAGAATATAGGAATGGATCCTTACCACATAATTTATGGAAGTGGTCCTGTCAAAATTTCGTCAAAGCTAAAGATGAAAATAATCCTGCTGTTATTTATTTATGTTGAAAACACATTGAAACCAATATATACATGTTGAGTGACAGTTGAGGTGAAAATAATTGTTACCTTTCAATATGTTTTTAGATTTCACACATTAAGTAAACACAGTTGATGACCATGACAGTTACTGTCAGGACAAGGCCTTTCTCAGTATACTTACCCAAAAATATTGGGGATCATGAATATTTTGGGGAATATTTTTATGAAATTGTGTGCTCAGTCTTCGAAAAACCAGCGGTGGGGTAGCCTAGTGGTTAAAGCCTTCGCTCGTCACGCCGAAGACCTTGGTTCGATTCCCCACATGGGTACAATGTGTGAAGCCCATTTCTTGTGTCCCCCGCCGTGATATTGCTGGAATATTGATAAAAAAAATCCAAATATGTTCATGATCCCTAACTCTTTTCTTCAGTGTATATCCTATGAATTATATCACTGTTCATAGAGATGCTTAATAGATGTTCAAACATACATTACTGTTGAGCTCATGCAAACTTCATCTACAATTGTTGAAATTTTGAAGTATTGTTTTATTAAATATATGATTATCACAAACTTCTTCTGTATTCATTTAACCTGAAATGTTTCGAAATGTTGTCAAGCTGATGGCGTCATCAACGCCGCCTCTGTAGATGGAGCGGCTGACCCACTGGGGCTTGTAATGCAAAAAATGGCAGCTACAAGATATATGGTCACACCCAGTGTCGGTATACTGCAGAAAAGGATCTATCAACACTGTGTGTGACCATTTATCTTGTAGTCGCCATTTTGTTTTGCGTTACAAGCCCCTGTGGTCTGACCAGATAGCTGTCGTTAAAGGAGCTCTGATCTCTGACAATTATGGACGATTCATACCAAAATACCTTGAAAGACATAGACTACAAGGACTGGTCGAATCAGAGAATGTATACTGTGTCTGAGCGGGGTTGAGTCGCATCACGCCATTGCTCAGATCGTTGTGCATGCGTTCAGACACTGGATTGTCCAGATCATCACGATGCTGGTATGGTGCTGACAGCGGCGTTAAAATTAACTCTCTCACTCAAGGTGGGCAACTGATACCAGTAAGTTGAGAATTGTACTAAGATAAAGAAACACCAAATAACAACCCTTGCTACAACAAAACAACTCCAACTCTATAATCTTTTAAAGGAAAACAGTTTTTCGAAGAATATGACTGTTGGTATTTCCGATGGTAATAACTCGTGTGTGCAATTTTTGACTCAGTTGTGAAGATCAATAATTTACTGAGATATATACACCCCTGATTTCCCTGTTAACTTACACATGGAGTGAATGAGTATGGTTATACACCGCTTTTAGCAATATTCCAGCACTATCACAGCAGGGGATGCCCGAAGATGTGAGGAATCGAACCAGGGTCTTCGGCGTGACGAGTGAACGCTTTAATCACGAGGCAACCCCACCGCTCCTCTCACACATGGACCAAGTGGGGATTCCGGATTAAAATAGGTCCCCAGTAATCTATGCTTGTTGTACGAGTCGACTTTATGGATTGTTGGTAAGTTCATATGCTCATAATATCAATCACTGGATTGTCTGATCTAGAATTCTCTTTCAGGCCGCCGTCATACATCTAGCCTATTGTTGGGTGACGCGTTAAACAACAATTTAACAAAACAAATTACAAATGAAATCTTTTGTAATGCTTTTGTGTTGAAGCAAAAATAAAAACTACATTATTTTGAACTGTGTTAAAGCACACCTACTTAAATCACTGTGATGTACAATAGAGCGAGTGAGTGAGTATGGTTTTACGCCACTTTTAGCAATATCACACCAGAAATGGGCTTCATATATCGACCCATGTGGGGAATCGAACCTGGGTCTTTTACGTGACGAGCCTACGCTTTAACCACTAGACTACCCCACCGTCCCGATATATAATACAATAGAAGCGATATTTACATGAAATCATCCATGGAAGTCACGTGACTTGTAGATACGACCGATAAGCCGACTGGCTGTCACATGACAAGATGGCGGGGGCTTTCAGCTGCACGTTGATTGCTGTTCTTGTATCGGTTTCTCGTGCTTCTATTATTGATCTGACTGGAACCTGGACTCTTCTGAGCAATGGTAGAGGTGAGGAGCACTCTTGCTAGATGTCATTGTCTTTAGTCTTATACAAGGCACACGGCAAGTGTTTACAATACATTGCGTAACAGCTCATTCGTTGATTCATTGATTTGCCTTTGCATGTGTTTGTGACGGGAGCTAACCATTGTGTACGCTCACCTTTTCCGAATACATGGTATCATCACTATTTGATAGTGATTCATGAACACATGCTCGGGATATTGTCGGAATCGTACAATCGAGGGTTTTGTTGACTTTATTCATTATTATTCACGCTTCCTTATTTCTGTGTTATGAACGGCATAGATTCCTAGGTCAAACATTCTATAATCGATTACAGCGATACGCCTATTGTTTAAAGTTACTGACGTGTTTCATCTTTACATTTGTCATATTTTGGACTATACTCCGTCTTTCCTGTAAAAGCAACTGACCCGTTAAACGGAACCTATTTTTGATGCAAATATAGTTAATAGGAAAGTTTAAATGACTCTTTGTAATATATTTAGTGACATTAATTATTCTTTTTAAAGAAATGAGAGCAGAAATGCTGTATCAGAATGAGTAACATTGAAATTTAATAATTTCTTTGGTGAGTCTGTAAATAAAAGTGACAAAAGAGGGTCCTGTAAAGTAATTAAAAGATGTACTGTTCTGTCAGATTTGATAATTGCCTTAGTAACAGGACCTTTATATTTCTTGTCAAGAGGACGCACTAAATCATTTTCTGCGTCCATTCTATACATTTCTGCGTACTGGACGCACATCTCTGCATAGATAATTCATTTTATATAATCTATTTGTGAAAGTGCTTTTCGCCGAGTGTAACATTCGCTCAAAATCATTTCTGGAATACCAGATAATTATAAAAGCTTCTTGAAGTAGCCTTGACACAATAACATATTTAAGATAACAATCAGGTTAGACTTATCACAAAGTCATACGACCAAGATCTAGATTTGCTTAGTCTGACCACGGTGATAGATTAACATACCCAATAAGTAGATCTGCAGCATGCTATGAATGCAGTGGTGTTTGTATCTGTCAAATTGAGAATGTTTGTCTTATGTTTGTTTGTTTGTTTGATTGTGTGTTGTTTAACGCCGCACTCAGACACGTTCCAGCAGCTATAAGACGGCGGTCTGTAAATAATCGAATCCGGAGAAGACAATCCAGTGATTGACATCATGAGCATCGATCTACGCAATTGGGATACGATGACGTGCATCAACAAAGTCAGCGAGCCTGACCACCTGATCTCGTTATTGGATTGTCTGGTCCAGACTCGATTATTTACAGACCGCCGTCATACAGCTGGAATATTTCTGAGTGCGGCGGTAAACAACAAACAAAAACTATATCACTGCATTGTACATTGTACGTCGTTTTATGACAAATATATAAAGATCAGATACTCCATAGAAATTTCGAGATAGAAATGGAGGGTCAGATTTGTGACATGGCTGATGACGTATCAAGTTGCTTATATGGCGTGAGTCTTGCTCATGTTTTCAGTCACTGGTTTGTTTGATCCAGAGTCAATCATAATCAGGCTGCCGTCATATAGAGGGAATATTCCTGAGTGCGGCATTAACAAAAAACAAAATGTAGCTGTCCTGATACCTTTGATGCTGATTTATCAGCTGACAGTTCAATTCATCCGGAAAAAGCATATCTGGCCTGACCTATCCATGTTATCATTGTACATATAGGGATATGAATTATCATTATATGAAACTATTGTTTTGGTTACTTTGGATATCAAATGAACCCAGCGAATCCAAAAATATATTAATATTCAAAATCAAAACCGTTTCCATAACCATAAGAGCTAGGGTGAGGTGAAATGGGGTTAAACGTCGCGTCCAAGATTATTGCACTTATATAGCGACGTGCATGCACGTGTATGTGTGTGGCTGCTTGTACGAATCCGGACTGATGCCGATTTATAGTGCTAGCTCACTGAGATACCATGCCGCAGTTTAACATGAATACCCCACTCAGACACAGTATACTGACTCCGAGCCGACCAGTCCTTGTTTTAACCCCTTAATGCCGAGCGCAAGACAGGGTAACAACAACTACCATCTTTTAACGTCTTTTGGTATGACGCGGCCGGGGATCGAACCCCTGACCTTCCGCAGTCCGGGCGGACGCTCTACCACAAGACCACGGAGGCGGTCATAACCATAAGAAATGTACGATTCCGGCTATGTAAGCATGTATTTATGGAAATGAACACTACTGCTTTTAATATAAATTTTCACTGGATGTTGTCAGAGATAGTAAGATACAATGCATTTAGATTTATCTTGGCCTATATACTTTTACACCGAATGTTTCAGAGAGAGGTTTGTCATCGCTAACGTACATGTAGCAGCATGGCTTAGGTAAATGTCTTCTCTGACACCGTCATACGGTTGCAGTTGAAACTTAGTATGCGTCTTCATGGCACATGGATATTTAATCAGGAACAAATAGGAGATTAATGAATAGAGTATACGGTAATTCTAAATGAAGTAATAATACACATTCTCAAAAAAATAAAAGCCACTGAACTGAACTTTATTTCACTCAAGGCTACAAGAAATAGCACAAGGAAGGTAATTTATAGATAAATTGTTTTATAGGCATTACTTAGAAGTTGACGGATGACAAGGTAGACACAATTTTATGGATAACAACTTCTTTAATACTGTAAAAGGTGACGTTTCGGTATAGATCCTTATACCGTTGTCAGAATTTATAGATGCCAACTTCTTTATTATGAGAAACATAACGTTTCGGAGTATATACTTACTCTTCACCTGATGAAGGAGTTGACATCCATAAATTCTCTTCCTTATGTGTATCGCTTCTACATTCCACTCAAAGCCATGTTGAGGGTTAACAGAGACCGATAAAAACACATACAGAACTTTTTAAATAATCATAAGACATATCTGCTAAAAGCAGAGTCCAATCTAGGATTCCGACTTCTAGGAGCGAATCCTTATGTGCTTGTTTGACGGTAAGCTTATAACCATAAGAAATATATACGGGAGAAGGGTCCTCCGTACTATTCCGACTATAAAATGAGCATGTGTTTATCAATCACTATCCAATCGTGATGATACCAGGTGTTCGCGAAAGGGCGAGCGTATCCTGCCCCACCTGAAAAACAACATCACAGGAGTGAGTGAGTGAGTTGGGTTTAACGCCGCTTTTAATAGTATTCCAGTAACATCACGGCGTGTCAGCTTAATGTGGGAGGAAAGCCCGAAGTGATGCAGGTCTCAGACGTTTATCACTTTGGTGAAACATATAAGCACGGGTATGGTGCTGACAAACCTAGAAACATAATCGGGGCGAACCGGGATTCAGACCCACAATCATAGGTTTCTGGCGTGCCGAAGGGACGCAACTCTGCACATCGAATCGCGGCCCCTTAGACGACTGGGCCACCCGTGCCACCAAACCATATCACTGGAACATATGGTACAAGGCGCGCACAAATTATAACACTTATCCACAGATAATTTATTCTAAAAGCTGCTGATTATCTGCTGCACATAAAGCCTTGTTGCTTTTAATGAATGGCGATTGATGCCATTCTATCCCCAGCAGTTTATACCAGTGTGTACTCTTTTTCGGGATTTAGTATTTTGTTTAATACCGAGCGCCTGAATTCTAATTTTTTTAAAACACCTTGCAACAATGTAATTTTTGTGGCAGGCAATTTTTTTCAACAGTCTGAAGCATAATTATTTTTTTCAAGAATTTTCGGGGACGTTTTATTTTTTTCAATTATCAAAAGGTCGTTTCGTATAAGCATAAGGATTCTGTGTTGAAGGAAGAAAATTCAGACCCAATAAGAAAAGAATTCAAGCATTTATACACCTCATATAAACACATTTATTAAGTTTTTGTAAACACATTATTGAAACAGTGCAACCATCAAGTATTGTTTGCGTTCTTCGCCTCGCCTGTGTTGCAAGAATAGTGGTTGTTCCAGGTGAGAGGATCCCTGCCAGTGTGCCAGGGAGCATGTACACAGCTCTGTACACCAACAAGCTGATTCCAGATCCGCTGTACCGGGACAACGATGTCAAACTACGATGGATTGGACGAGAAGACTGGACGTACACACGTACCTTTCAGTGTAAGAGCAGGACGAGAGCCACGTCATTAACTGATTATAAGAACACAGACAACATGTGATCTAACATGAAAGAAAGTAGCATAACATATATCAACAATAAGACACTGTTTAGTTCCTAAAACTGATGACGAAACAACAGTCCGATGATCGATTTTAATCTATGACGGAAGGATGATCTTTTCTCAAAACATCAGCTGTGGGCACAACATGGTATAAATTGTATAAGGTTAATTTTAGATATATAAGGTAGATCATTTGAATATATGACATATTAAACATAAAGACACTTACCATTTGCATGCAACTTGGTCCGGCATTATTTACAGAAATACGATTTGTTTTTGTTTTTTTAGAGGTTATTACTACATCTGATGTTTTGTATGAGGTCATTACTACATCTGATGTTTTGTATGAAGTCATTACTACATCTGGTGTATTGTATGAAGTCATTACTACATCTGCTGTTTTGTATGAGGTCATTACTACATCGAATGGATTGTATTAGGTCTTTACTACATCGAATGTATTTTAGTGAGGTCATTGTAACATCTGATGTATGTTGTGAGGTCATTACTACATCTGATGTTTTATATGAAGTCATTACTACATCTGCTGTTTTGTATGAGGTCATTACTACATCGAATGGATTGTATTAGGTCTTTACTTCATCGAATGTATTTTAGTGAGGTCATTACTACATCTGGTGTTTTGTATGAATTCATTACTACATCTGATGTATTTTATGTATTCATTGCTACATCTGATGTCTTGTATGAATTCAGTGCTACATCCAGTGTTTTGTATGAGGTCATTACTACATCCAATGTTATGTATGAGGTCATTACTACATCTGATGCATTGTATGAGGTCATTACTACATCCAATGTATTGTATGAGGTCATTGCTACATCTGATGTACTGTATGAGGTCATTACTACATCGAATGCATTGTATGAGGCCATTGCTACATCTGGTGTGTTGTATGAGGTCATTACTACATCCAATGTATCGTATGAGGTCATTGCTATATCTGATGTATGGTATGAGGTTATTATTACATCGAATGTATTGTTTTAGGTCTTTACTACATCGAATGTATTTTTGTGAAGTCATTACTACATCTGATGTTTTGTATAAGGTCATTACTACATCTGATGTTTTGTATAAGGTCATTACTACATCTGATGTATTTCTTGAGGTCATTACTACATCGAATGTATTGTATTAGGTCTTTACTACATCGAATGTATTTTTGTGAAGTCATTACTACAGCTGATGTTTTGTATGAGGTCAATCCTACATTTGATGTTTTGTATGAGGTCATTACTACATCTGATGTTTTGTAGTGAGTTCAGCAGACCTGGCTGCCTCTGCCCTCCATCTTGTCTGTGACGGTCTGGACACCTTCTCAACCGTCTTCATCAACGACCAGAAGGTCGGGACATCAGAGAACATGTTTGTCCAATATGTCTACGACATTAAACAAGCTGCAAAGGTTAGAATGTTTGTGACACTTTTTAAGAACATAAACTTGACAACCATTCTATTTCTGTCCATCCAAATTGTCATCATTTTACCTACAGTAAACTACAGTTATAACGAACTCAAATGGACGACTTATTTTAGTTCGTTATAACCGTAGTTCGTTATTAGTATATACAACATCTATACAGAAATTGGACGGGACCAAAAATTAAGTTCGTAATATATATCAGTTCGTTATAAGCGTGTTCGTTATAAACGTATTTTACAGTATCTGGGTATTCACGCATGACCTGACCTATCCCACCACCAATGCTGAAATGAAACCCTTCTTGACTGATGTCTTAGAGATGATGCAACTGAGTATATATTCTAAATGCCCATCAAAGTAAATGTTTTTCGGGCACATTTTTCCCATTTTTGTTTACTTCCTACCAAGAATGCCAGGAAACACAACTGGAAAAACGTTACAATGGGCTGTTAAATTCAATGTTATGTTATTTTATTGATAATAAAGTATACTTCATATATTTCTGTTGGCAATAAAAAAACAGCACCCAGGATTTAAAATGACGCGCCGATGCCCGAGAAATATTTCCTTTTTAAGCCTTATGCTATCTTACCCTGAACAATTAATAATACTCTAATCCTAAAAAAGTCACAATTTTCACTAGCTTGTCACTAGTGGTTAAAGCGTTCGCTCGCCACGCCGAAGACCAAGGTTCGATTCCTGACATTGGTACTCACTCACTCACTCACTCACTCACTCACTCACTCACTCACTCACTCACTCACTCACTCACTCACTCACTCACTCACTCACTCACTCACTCACTCACTCACTCACTCACTCACTCACTCACCCACCCACTCACTCACTCACTCACTCACTCACTCACTATATGTGCTATGTTTCACCAGGTTGGAGACAACACTATCCGTATTGACTTTGAGTCTGCTGTAACAGTTGCTGCTCAAAAGGCCAATGCTTCTGCCTATGACATTCCCGGCGATTGTCCCAACAAGGTACAGAACGGAGAATGTCATGTCAACATGATCAGAAAGGAGCAGTGTTCTTTCAGCTGGGACTGGGGACCGTCCTTCCCAACACAGGGAATATGGTAAGCACAAGGACCTGGGGACCTTCCTTCCCAACACAGGGAATATGGTAAGCACAAGGAACTTGGGGACTTCCTTCCCAACACAGGGAATATGGTAAGCTTTAGGAACTGGAGGACGTCCTTCCCAACACAGGGAATATGATAAGCACAAGGAACTTGGGGACTTCCTTCCCAACACAGGGAATATGGTAAGCTTTAGGAACTGGAGGACGTCCTTCCCAACACAGGGAATATGGTAAGCACAAGGAACTTGGGGACTTCCTTCCCAACACAGGGAATATGGTAAGCACAAGGAACTGGGGACCTTCCTTCCCAACACAGGGAATATGGTAAGCACAAGGAACTGGGGGCCTTCCTTCCCAACATAGGGAATATGGTAAGCACAAGGAACTCGGGACCTTCCTTCCCAACACAGGGAATATGGTAAGCACACGGAACTGGGGGCCTTCCTTCCCAACACAGGGAATATGGTAAGCACATGGACTTGGGGACCTTCCTTCCCAACACAGGGAATATGGTAAGCACAAGGAACTTGGGGACTTCCTTCCCAACACAGGGAATATGGTAAGCACAAGGAACTCGGGACCTTCCTTCCCAACACAGGGAATATGGTAAGCACACGGAACTGGGGGCCTTCCTTCCCAACATAGGGAAAATGGTAAGCACAAGGAACTCGGGACCTTCCTCCCTCACAGGGAATATGGTAAGCACAAGGAACTGGGGACCGTCCTTCCCAACACAGGGAATATGGTAAGCACAAGGAACTGGGGACCGTCCTTCCCAACACAGGGAATATGGTAAGCACAAGGAACTCGGGACCTTCCTCCCTCACAGGGAATATGGTTAGCACAAGGAACTGGGGACCGTCCTTCCCAACACAGGGAATATGGTAAGCACAAGGAACTGGGGGCCTTCCTTCCCAACACAGGGAATATGGTAAGCTTTAGGAACTGGAGGACGTCCTTCCCAACACAGGGAATATGGTAAGCACAAGGAACTGGGGACCGTCCTTCCCAACACAGGGAATATGGTAAGCACAAGGAACTGGAGGACGTCCTTACCAAAACAGGGAATATGGTAAGTTTAATTACGAGGCCGCGTCTTTCTAAGTTTTAGTTTACATTTTTTATACAAATGCGTTAACCAGGCTACATATGTTGGGAATGGTGAACAGATTTTCCACTTTCAAAGTAACTTTAGTAGGAAAAAGTAACTTGAGAAATTGTGGAACTGAATATTGTTTTCGTTTCGGTATAATTTGCTAAAGGGTAAGTTTAATACGTTTAATATATGCTCAGAGGCCATACCAACGTCTTCACTTGTTCTTGAAAACTATTCACAGTTCTATCCTGTTGTATTTGTAGGTACTTTTATTTTTTAAAATGACAAGCAAACTTTGCTCTTGTTTCATTCTTTGATTGAAAAAGGTGAAGCCTCGGTGACAGATCTGAGAGAATCGCTATTTGTGAGTGAATCAGTTACCACTGTAGGTGCATAGGCATGTAGCGGCGATCCTAAGAATTACAGAAAATAAGAAATGTCATTATTACCCCTTATTACAATTCTGATTTAATAAGAAATGAAAGTCAACATGTAAGTATGCCTTCAGTTAATTACAAAGAACCATTACTATGTTCACCGTCCTTGTTACCTTGTAGGAAAAGCATCTACGTCCAAGCTTTCAATTCTGCCGTGATTCGTGAACTCTCAGTTGCAACGACAAGAGGTACTGAATTGTAAGAAAACGAGCGGTGCACCATCTTCCCGAGGCAAGGGAGTTAACTGACTATAAGGACTGTTATAGTCAGTTAACTCCCTTGCCTCGGGAAGATGGCAGTGCACTGAAATTAGTGTTTCGGGGTTAGGGGTTAGTCTTTCAACTGGTTGCTCAAAGCAGTAACATTTTGGGTTACATGACTGGCAATGCGGAGTTCTCGTTGGTACCCTTTCAGTAAGATACTTTAGGGGCCAGATTCATTTGTTGGGTGTTTGTCTAGAATAAATAACTGCACATCTGAAACCACACGCCCACTGCGACCATTTTGGAGCCATGCCTAGTTGATCCATAAGGGTTGAACTATACATGTATATACATGTAAATACATGTATGTGTGGGGATCCTCCTCAAATTCTTGTCCATGTTGTCATGGCTCTGCCAATGGACTTAAAAGAAGATGGTTAACAAAGGATCACTCAAATATATGAAACCATAAAATATTTATTTCTGTCCAATCAAACTTCATAAAGCGTTTATGTTTAAATTAAAAACGTCAAAGCTAGAGAAGACGCAGTAGGTCTTTAATATTGAAGTAGAATGTTAAAAGTCAAGTGAAAACTGTTCTTTTACAGTCAGTTAACTCCCTTGCCTCGGGAAGATAGTTGTTCTCTGGCGTTGACCGTTAGTGTTTAATCGAGTTAAATTTTACTTTAATGTCACCTTTGTGAATGTTTGTGTCCATGGATCTGTTAACGAGGTAATATAGAACCTACAATGTGCATTGTCTGCACGGTTTTCTGACACTAACTGTGTTTCTTACATTTCTAGAAGCGGGAGGACCATGGATGCTGGATGTGGGCGTGTATTTTGACGTCAGCAGGGGTTCTGTGTCGGGCGTCCTCACCCTCAACGTTGTTGGCACAGAAGCAGTGAAGTCCATGCCACTGACTCTCACACCAACAAACAATTCATCAGTCTTCTCAGTCTCAGTCCCGAACGTAAGTATCAGCTGAGGTGAATGGGGTTTAGCGTCGCGTTCAACATTCTTATCCGATAGCGACGTACATGTATGTGCGTGTGTGTCCTTACCAACCCAACTCACTCACTCGGTCCTATGCCGGTTGTGTACTGCTAGCAGAATAAGATAACATGGATACCCCAATCTGACACAGTATCTTGCCTCCGTGACGGCCAGTCCTTGTTTTAATCCCTTTATGCCGAGCGCCAGGCAGGGTAACAACAAGTACCACCTTGTTTGTCGTTTGTACGTCGTTTGGTATGACGCAAACCACCGATCGTGCGCTGTCCGGGCGTGCGCTCGAATCCTTAAAGGAGATTACGTATCACAGTAGATGAGTGTTTTGTTAGATTAACACACAGGGTTTGTCTACCGGGTGGCCCGCCTCTGACTTTAACGGGACGGTCGGGTAGCCTAGTGGTTAAAGCGTTCGCTCGTCACGCCGAAGACCCGGGTGCGATTCCCGACATGGGTACAATGTGTGAAGCCCATTACTGGTATCCCCTGCCATAATACTGCTTGAATATTGCTAAAAGCGGCGTAAAACCATACTCACTCAGACCCTACTTCAGTTTTTCGTGAGAACAGATGACTCCTATACAAAATAAAGACTTTACTGATTTACTTCCCTCAGTCATTTCAGGAACAATTGAAGTAGGCTTGACCTGTTGTCATCATGACAATACAAAGGATTTATGTCTTGTGTTTGTGTCATTTGCAGAGTTACAAAATTGACAGATGGTGGCCAAATGGTTATGGGAACCAGACTCTCTACACCGTCAACGTCACCTTCACCAGCAACAACGAGGTGTCAAGCAAACAACGTCGGGTGGGATTCCGTAGCGTATATCTGGTACAGAATCCTTTTGGCAACAACCAAGGTGGGTGGGAAATGTGTTGGCAACAATCAAGGTGGTTGTGAATGTGTTGGTAACAACCAAGGTGGGTGGTAATGTGTTGGCAACAATCAACGTGGTTGTGAATGTGTTGGCAACAATCAAGGTGGTTGTGAATGTGTTGGCAACAACCAAGGTGGGTGGGAAATGTGTTGGCAACAATCAAGGTGGTTGTGAATGTGTTGGTAACAACCAAGGTGGGTAGTAATGTGTTAGCAACAACCAAAGTGGGTGGGGATCACGTTGTCAAGAACCAAGGTGGGTGTGGAATGTGTTTGCAACAATCAAGGTGAGTGTGGAGAGTGTTTGCAACAACCAAGATGATTGGGAATGTGTTGGCAACAACCAAAGTGGTCGGGGATCACGTTGTCAAGAACCAAGGTGGTTGTGAATGTGTTGGCAACAATCAAGGTGGTTGGGAATGTGTCGGCAACAATCAAGGTGGGTGGGGAATGTGTTGGCAACAACCAAGTTGGGTGGGGAATGTGTTGTAATCAACTAAGGTGATTGGGAATGTGTTGGCAACAATCAAGGTGGGTGGGGAATGTGTTGGCAACAACCAGAGTGGTCGGGGATCACGTTGTCAAGAACCAAGGTGGTTGTGAATGTGTTGGCAACAATCAAGGTGGGTAGGAATGTGTTGGCAACAACCAAGGTGATTGGGAATGTGTTGGCAACAACCAAGGTGGGTGGGAAATGTGTTGGCAACGACCAAAGTGGTAGGAGAATCTGTTGGCAACAACCAAGGTGGGTGGGAATGTGTTGGCAAAAACCATGTTGGTGGGGAATCTGTTGGCAACAACCAAGGTGGGTGGGGAATGTGTTGGCAACAACCATGTTGGTGGGGAATGTGTTGGCAACAACCAAGGTGGGTAGGAATGTGTTGGCAACAACCAAGGTGGGTGAGGAATGTGTTGGCAACGACCAAGTGGTAGGAGAATCTGTTGGCAACAACCAAGGTGGGTGGGGAATGTGTTGGCAAAAACCATGTTGGTGGGGAATGTGTTGGCAACAATCAAGGTGGGTGGGGAATGTGTTGGCAACAATCAAGGTGGGTAGGAATGTGTTGGCAACAACCAAGGTGGGTGAGGAATGTGTTGGCGACGACCAAAGTGGTAGGAGAATCTGTTGGCAACAACCAAGGTGGGTGGGGAATGTGTTGGCAACAACCATGTTGGTGGGGAATGTGTTGGCAACAACCAAGGTGGGTAGGAATGTGTTGGCAACAACCAAGGTGGGTGAGGAATGTGTTGGCAACGACCAAGTGGTAGGAGAATCTGTTGGCAACAACCAAGGTGGGTGGGGAATGTGTTGGCAAAAACCATGTTGGTGGGGAATGTGTTGGCAACAATCAAGGTGGGTGGGGAATGTGTTGGCAACAATCAAGGTGGGTAGGAATGTGTTGGCAACAACCAAGGTGGGTGAGGAATGTGTTGGCGACGACCAAAGTGGTAGGAGAATCTGTTGGCAACAACCAAGGTGGGTGGGGAATGTGTTGGCAACAACCATGTTGGTGGGGAATGTGTTGGCAACAACCAAGTTGGGTAGGAATGTGTTGGCAACAACCAAGGTGGGTGAGGAATGTGTTGGCAACGACCAAAGTGGTAGGAGAATCTGTTGGCAACAACCAAGGTGGGTGGGGAATGTGTTGGCAACAACCATGTTGGTGGGGAATGTGTTGGCAACAACCAAGGTGGGTAGGAATGTGTTGGCAACAACCAAGGTGGGTGAGGAATGTGTTGGCAACGACCAAAGTGGTAGGAGAATCTGTTGGCAACAACCAAGGTGGGTGGGGAATGTGTTGGCAAAAACCAAGATGGGTGGGGAATGTGTTGGCAACAACCAAGGTGGGTAGGAATGTGTTGACAACAACCAAGGTGGGTGAGGAATGTGTTGGCAACGACCAAAGTGGTAGGAGAATCTGTTGGCAACAACCAAGGTGGGTGGGGAATGTGTTGGCAAAAACCAAGATGGGTGGGGAATGTGTTGGCAACAACCAAGGTGGGTAGGAATGTGTTGGCAACAACCAAGGTGGGTGAGGAATGTGTTGGCAACGACCAAAGTGGTAGGAGAATCTGTTGGCAACAACCAAGGTGGGTGGGGAATGTGTTGGCAAAAACCAAGATGGGTGGGGAATGTGTTGGCAAAATCCAAGATGGGTGGGGAATGTGTTGGCAAAAACCAAGATGGGTGAGGAATGTGTTGGCAACAATCAAGGTGGGTGGGGAATGTGTTGGCAAAAACCAAGATGGGTGGGGAATGTGTTGGCAACAATCAAGGTGGGTAGGAATGTGTTGGCAACAACCAAGGTGGGTGGGGAATGTGTTGGCAACAATCAAGGTGGGTGGGGAATGTGTTGGCAAAAACCAAGATGGGTGAGGAATGTGTTGGCAACAATCAAGGTGGGTAGGAATGTGTTGGCAACAACCAAGGTGGGTGGGGAATGTGTTGGCAAAAACCAAGATGGATGAGGAATGTGTTGGCAACAATCAAGGTGGGTAGGAATGTGTTGGCAACAACCAAGGTGGGTGGGGAATGTGTTGGCAAAAACCAAGATGGGTGGGGAATGTGTTGGCAACAATCAAGGTGGTACGAGAATCTGTTGGCAATGTGCATGCGAAATATAAAGAAGAATTTATCGTGTTGACAGAAACAATTTGGGAGGGGAATGTTTCGGCAATAATCAGAGTGAGAAGTAACCAACATGGTTGAATGGGTGTTGTCACTTTGAAGAAAACGAGATGGATGGGTAACTTGTTAACAATATCCAGGGTTGATGTAGAAAGTGCGCAAGTAGGAACAGGGTTGTTTTCACAAGAACCAACCAAAAATGGATTTAGATATGTGTGTGGGCGAATGTGTTAACAAGTCAAACCATGGTCCAGCGTGAATAACAACTAAGGTCGGTTATAAACAAGATGTCATTTAAAATGGATAATGAATGTAGGTTGATATTTATAAGCAGGGTGGGAAGTGTCTTCAACTCTTTAAATATTTCAAGAGAAGTTATATAAATGTGTTTATATGACGGGTGCCTCCGATGGGGCAACATTAGGTTGCACACACAGGTTGGGAAACTCAAAAATGTTTGGCGACTTGTGTTTTCACACGACAAAAATGTGTTAGTTTTACATGGTTACTCTTCACTTCTCTCAGATACCGACACAATTCTGTAGTAGACGTACGTCACAACCATGTGATGTCTATGCAGTATCTTGATAGGTTGTAATCGACCAACATACGTTTCGTGAAAGTCGAGTACGAAAACACTAAAATGTCGGCCAGTGTATGGGTGAGAAACTAGTTTGCAAACTAAGTTCACGTAAACAAACGTTTGCGGAGTGGCTGAACAGTTCTACGACGGATGTATAGTACATCCTTGCAGGCAGAATATTGTGCAGGCATCTAGGTATTCTCTGCTGATGAACCATCAAGTATCTCACTACTGAAACTCCAACAACCATCCAAGCGGACATGGTGTCGACTTTAGGGAATGATGCTGTTTCCTTTGTCACTGTGGGCAGTGGAGTTCAAGGCGGGAAGATGATCCGAGATCAGAGAGATCTTCAACGGCCATCATTAAGGATGATTGACGACTCACCACGCGCCCTATAGCCAATGCAATTCCCATTCCAACGCAGTGGTTCTTCATATCTCGTGAGAATAAACGTCGTTTTGAGGCTTAGAGAGTCTAAACAGCAGTCAAAGCAGCGGAAACATCTCCCCGGAAGAGTGAGTGAGTGAGTTTGGTTTTAACCGCTTTTAGCAATATTCCAGCAATATCACGGCGGGGGACACCAGAAATGGGCTTCACACATTGTACCCATGTCGGGATTCGAACCCGGGTCTTCGGCGTGACGAGCGAACGCTTAACCACTAGGCTACCCGACCGCCCCCCTCCCCGGAAGAAGGTAAAATCTATTCCGTATACTGGCAAAGTGATGGCTTCGGTTTTCTCGGATTCTTACCATCGAAGTAATGCAGGTCTCAGACATTTACCTCTTTGGTGAAACCCACGATCACGGCCATGGTGATGACAAACCTAGAAACATAATCATGGTGAACCTGGATTCGAGCCCACGATCATAGGTTTCTGGCGTGACCAAGGTACGCAACTCTGTACAGCGAATTGCGGCGCCTTAGACGATTGGGCAAACCGTACCTCCCAATGTAAATTCAAACCGAAATACACTGGAACTATGGAGAGGATGTTGTCGCTTTTATTTCCTTTCATATCAATCTGACGCACCTTGGTATAACTGAAATATCTTTTTTTCAAAACGGCGTTAAACTCAACTCACTCACTTTCTGTTTTCTGTTACGTCACAATGATCATTGCCATGTGATTCGGTAAATCAAGATTGAACGATGTCATGTTGTTTGTTTGTTTGTTGTTCAACGTCGCACTCAGCAATATTCCAGCTATGTGACGCCGGTCTGTAAATAATAACTCCAGTGTTTGACATCATGATCATCGATCTACGCAATTGGGATACGATGACATGTATCAGCCAAGTCAGTGAGCCTGACCACACGATCCCGTTAGTCGCCTCTTACAACAAGCAGTCGCCGTTTATGGCAAGCATGTTGATACTGGTAATTGATGAGTAAGTTTGTCCTAGTACGTTGCTATTTTTTCACAGGCTTGTCATTCTACTTCAAGATAAACGACATACCAGTTTTCTTCAAGGGATCAAATTGGATTCCTGCAGACAGTTTTCAGGAAAATATTACCAGAGAAAGATTGCGCCGTCTGCTCCAATCAGCTGCTGAAGTCCACATCAACTCAATGAGGGTTTGGGGAGGAGGGGTAAGAACAATCAAGGCTGACACATGTTGTTACTACCGAAACAAATATATTGACAAACAATATATGAATAAACTATATACAAAGAAGAAATAATATGAGATGTGTACAATTGACACCAGAAGCATTATACATGAACGATGTCACCGTTTTTTTTTTATAATTGTCTCCAGTTTCTCGTGTTAATCATAAGCTAAGCAGTTAGTTTATAAAAAAAATGACGTTGATATGTTTTTGGAGGTATAAATGTAAAATGCAGAGTGCATAGCATAACTTCTCAAATAACTTTGATGCATATTGTACAAAACAAAATATATGGAAAAGTTTATGTTTGGAATTATGACTACCTTTTAGCATTGCCAGGGCCCACCTGCACAAAGCGATCTTAGCGGTAAGATGATCGTAACTCCCATACTTTAAAAAAAGCTTACAATAGTCGTAGAGCTATGATTGCAAACGGGCCCAGGTTTGTACATTGGCACTAAAAGCATGACACATGTTTTCCTGTATTTAATTTTGCTTGTGATATTTTCTTTACAGGTTTATGAATCAGAGGATTTTTATGAGCTCGCGGACGAGTTTGGCATTATGATCTGGCATGACCTGATGTATAGTGATCATTTCTACCCAACCACACCAGACTTCCTTGGTACCGTGTCACAAGAGATCACACACCAGGTACATCAGACATTGGGGTCACAGCTCGCGTGCGTTACTCTCACACACGATTAACCTTTGTATGTCATCTCAACGATAAACTATCCAGAGGGGTCGGCGTAATTTAAAAAAAAACCTGTTGTATTTAAGCAATTCAATATTGTAGTAAGATAGTAAGTCTTTCTCTAGGATAACATGTCACACATGAAAACGTCTTATCAAAGACGGTACTTGTTAATATATGTCTATAATCATAAGAAATCTCTGCTAAAAGCAAAGTCCATTGTACCATGAGCTGTGATTCTGAATCACTATCAAATATCTCCAGCCTTTGGTGTCTACATTTCACAGCTTTTGAGGTATAATTGGGCATGCTACTTCTACGAAGATTTCAAAGAGAGTCACACGACTCTTGCTCAAAGATGGTTTGATTAATGTTACAAAATTCAAGGACATATTAAAGCTTTCAAAACGCTTTATGGTAGACATGTGGAAGGCGCATTTGACGCTTCATTGACCATGTAGGCGTCATTTGTTATTTGGAATACCTTATGTTTCCGTGTTTTTACAGGTGGACAATTGACTTGCCTTTGCATGTGTTTGTGACGGGTGCCAATGAATATGATGCTTTTTCCGCAGCTGAGGCGTATCAGGCACCACCCTTGTATCGCCGTGTGGTCGGGTAACAACGAGATGGAGATAGGCCTCCGAGATCAGGGGTGGGTAATTGTGATGTTAGCTTTTACCTTCACTAGGCTGCTATATATTTACATCAAAGACCCAAGAGCTCTTGAAATGTGCCTGCATCCTGATCCCAAACAGGAAACTTTTTAAGTAAGACTGGAATCTTTTTTCAGATATCTATACACTGGCAGTGTGCAGCTACTATTGGGGCTTTCACTATATGTTTATTTCTACAGTTTTATACTATTTCTACTTCAGTATATTGATTGATATGGGGTATAAGTACATTTGTCTTTTTAATGTGTTTTTGTACGATCAAGTGATGTGGGAACTCTTTCCAATCCGATTCAAATCTTATATTTTACACTGATACGATTCTCTGCGTCAAGATCCGATGACACATCCATAGGAGGTCGCGTCGGGTGAACTTGCTAGACAGCCATTTCAGCGTCCATGCTTCTAAATTATCGGTACGAATGAAGCGAAGCATTTTATACAGTATATGATTTCTGTATATCGAAAGCGAACTGAAACGACAGAGAAGGAGAAAGTATAGCGACGCCGTTGTAGTGTTCTGGATGAATCATACATCCTGTCGTTTCTGAGCGCCGTGGCAGCTACACCCAAAAGGGAGTCCCATCGAAGAAATAGTTGTGTTATGTGTGGGGTTTTCACTTTTATATGTACGGAATTTCCTGCTCGATTGAAACACAAAAGCAGCTGAATCGTTTTAGAAAGCGGACAGCTGATTTCCCAAAGAACCCACATTCTTCTCGCAGATTAAGTTGTCAAAGCTCGCTCAGAGGTCAACTGACGCAACGTTCTGTAGAGGTTCTGTTCTGTACTCAGATCTAAAGGCAGAGTATCGTATGGTAATAAACGATCTAGTTTTGAGATTGAGCTCAATCATCCATGAAGTGGTTGTAATCACTAATGGAGATTAACACACCAATATCCATTTCAGTTGTGTATTTGGACTCGCAAAATCTAAAACGTTTCAAAGTCTCAAAAATGTTTCCTTTGCCAAACAACATGAGCCACTTGCTACTTTCTGAAGATTAGAAGCAAACTTCTGCCAATGGAGGTCTTGGTACTTTCAGCTTCCATGACTACAAGCGCTACTACGATGACTACATCAAGTTGTACGTGACAACGATCAAGACTATTGTAGACAGGGAAGACCCGACCCGTGTGTATCTGTCATCCAGTCCCAGTAATGGCAAGGATACAGAGAAGGAAGGATGGGTAGCTAAGGACCCTCAGTCCGAATTGTATGGCGACAGTAAGTCAATGCTAAGACAGACTTGCGTTTTCACGATGCTTATTGGTTACTGTTCTGTTTCATGTCAACTTTGCATTCATATGTGAACTTCTAGTTGGAGCATAGGTATGGCTTTTTATACACCTGATTTAGGGTATTGCTAATTGTATTTGTTCACAAATGTACTCATGAAAATATGTACAAACCAACTAACCACGTGCGTTTTGAAGTACTAACGAGACATTACGTAATGGAATTCCGGTGAGATATTTTAACGGAAGTAGTACTTCACTCAGCGCAATTAAGCGGTGCTCTTTGCTCTTTGATGGATTATGTTTTGGGTAAACTTCATGGAAGTCATTTTCTCTCTTAAAATCCACTAGGGGAGGGGGAAGGTCGCATTAATATTGAGTCGCACTTTTGAACAGGGGTCAGCAGTCGCATTAATTTAGAGACGCATTAATTTCATTGTATCTCGAAAACGAACTTTAACGACAAGTTCCGAAAGTAGAAAGTATCGCGACGCCGTTGTAGTGTTCTGGATACTTCATACATCCTATCATTTCTGAGCGCCGTGGCAGCCACACCCAAAAGGGAGTACCATCGAAGGAATAGTTGTGTTATGTGTGGGGTTTTCACTTCTACATGTACGGAATTTCCTGCTCGATTGAAACACGAAAGCAACTGAATCGTTTTAGAAAGCGGACAGCTGATTTCCCAAAGAACCCACATAATTCTCGCAGATTAACTTGTCAAAGTTCGTTCAGAGGTCAACTGACGCAACGTTCTCAACGTTTACAGTATGCTGTCAGTCTCAAGCTTTGCTATCGTTCAGCGGCCCGTTCTACAAAGCGATCGTAGCACTAGGGTGATCGTAGGTCCCAAAACTTAACATAGACTTACCACAATCGTAGCGCTACGATCGCTTTGTGGAACAGGGCCCTGACCTGAATGTGAGCACAGATTGTGTTTCTGATTTAACCGGGTCCCGTGTCCATTTGCATAGAATACCATTGTACGATCGTGCCATGCGACAGTGATGCATTGACCATCAGTTCCAGTATCTTGATCTAACGTGTATTTCCACAAACAGTTCACTTCTATAATTATGCCGCCGACCTGTGGAACGAATCAGCATTCCAGATACCGCGATTCGCCTCTGAGTACGGGATTCAGGCCTGGTGTGACATCGAGACCCTGGAAGATGTGTTTGACTCGGGGGACTTTGACTACTGGGGACCAATGTCCAGTCACAGGAATCATCACCCTTCTGGTCAGTTGTGTTAGTGAGTGAGTGAGTGAGTATGGTTTTTGAGTGAGTACGCCGCTTTTAGCAATATTCCAGCAATATCACGGCGGGGGACACCAGAAATGGGCTTCACACATTGTACCCATTTCGGGAATCGAACCCGGGTCTTCAGCGTGACGAACGAACGCTTTATCCCCGAGGCTACCCGACCGCCCCGGTCAGTTGTGTTAACATTACACCAGAAACATTTAATTTCACTAAAGTTTGGAGTACAAGATTGTCAAAACATTTATTGCTAAGGAAATAAAGATTTAAATTTTGAATGTTATATTGATGATTTTGTTTGAGCTCTTAAAGCAGCACCAAGTTTCAAATGTATCAATTCATTTAAGAAGCGTCATTTACACAAGTATCTCAACCCTTTCATGACAAAATGATAATTTAGGGATCACTCCTTAAGGCTTGTTTCAGCTCATACTATAACCAATCTGTTACTGACTATACTTTACTCATATACGAGTAAATGGCGTACATGATTAAAGAGACAGAAGCCAGAGCTGCAAGGTTTAGTTCTGAAGCATGTATCATGACTGCAGGACATGCTTACCCTGTTCGCGAACACCTGGTGTCATCACTGATTTTCAGTGGTCCATTCATTTTAGTTTGCCTTTTTTGCCCAGTCGAATCTGTTTCGGCGGATAACAAGGCTGTTGACGTTTTATATTCATTGACAGGGCACCAAATCAGTAACACAAGCAGCGAGATGTCGCACTTCATAAAACTTGTACCTATTAAGACAACCTGATAAAATGTCATCAAATGAAACAGTGAAGTCTTTACACTATTAATCTTTCTGAAAACAAATATTAACATGGTCAAAATATTATCTTTCTTCACTTTTGATATTCGTACACATACGAAATCCATGCATCACATACAATGGTGTTGGGAATGGAAAAGAACTCATACACTGACGATGCACCGTGGTACGTTCCATGTCCTTGTTTCTATTGTTTACAGGTAATATTGAGATGGTCAAAGAAGTTATCCAACATTTCAAAGAACCCACTAATCCAGATGCAAAACAGAAATTTAGTGACATCATCTACTTAACACAGGTGAGTGATGCAAACATGACTTAAACAGCATCCTTGCCAATGCCAAGGTCGTATAATACCATCCTCATCAGAAACTACCTGTCGAAGCCAAACAAATGTTTCTCATCGTCGTGCGGGTCAATTTAAACATGGACACCTCAGTGTTGAAAACATTTCCACATTGTGGAAATCAATGCCCCATACAGAAAAAACTTTAAATAAATAAAACACCTTGCCTCTGTATAGCTTAATGAAACGTCATATGTACTTCCGGTTTTATTAAAACATTTCTGTCTCAGCAGGGGCGGTCGGGTAGCCTAGTGGTTAAAGCGTTCGCTCGTCACGCCGAAGACCCGGGTTCGATTCCCGACATGGGTACATTGTGTGAAGCCCATTTCTTGTGTCCCCCGCCGTGATATTGCTGGAATATTGCTAAAAGCGGCGTAAAACCATACTCGCTCGCTCGCTCTGTCTCAGCAGATTGTCAAACGCGCTTTGAAAAAGGTGCTTGTAGAATTAAGGTTTCAAGGGTCGTGCGTTGTATATTGGTTTTGATGCTGAAAGATATCCCACAGTTCATGATGTATATTTCTCTGTCAGATCAACCAGGCCGTATCGGTACAGGCTGAAAGTGAACACTACCGGCGCTGGCAGAATGACCTGACTTCAGATGGGCGGGGACAGACTATGGGCGCCCTCTACTGGCAGCTCAATGACATCTGGCAGGCACCAACATGGGCTAGTATAGGTGAGTGATATGCTCTTTCTTTTTATCGGTTGAACATTTCAAGTTAATCCTACCTGGGTGACGGCACATTATATTTGCTGCTTGTAACATTTAGAAACTTATTCAAACAGAATCCACAGAGCTTTACATACTAGTATAATAGGCCAATTATAAGGAAAAGACTCGTGTTGTCAAGGCGCCTGGCATTGGTATCATAGAACATTTGCAATCATATTACCATCATTGCTCTGTGATTAAAAGCAATTTTACATTACGATCACTTCCCCAAGGGGACACCACGTGATGTGTCCCACTGTGGGGCAGAAACAACGCCCTAGAAAATCGCAGGGAGTCGATCCTTTCCAAGTGCATTCACCCATTCAGCTACTCTAATCCGCCAGCGTTGATGAACTATACATGATTTGTGATCTGTGACAGGGCCACGTGGCATCCACGTTCATGTCATCTGGAGTAAATGGTACGGTTTATAAATAATGGACACATTTAGGAAACTTGTACCCATGTACTTGATTACCATGAGTAATATATCGTAACCAAATCATGGTAAAGGTGGCTGATGTTGTATTACAGATTACAAAGGCAAATGGAAGATGCTGCACTACTACGTTCGGAAGTTCTTCGCCCCCGTTCTTATCTCCCCCTTCATGGACGGCAACTTCCTCAACATCTACATGGTGGTGGACGATATCTTCCTGACCGAGGTCAAGGACACCAAGACCGGCATGAACGTCTTCACCCCTGCCACCACCAGCCTCCTCCAGTCCAGCTTCCCCAACCACGAGGCCGTGCATCTGATGAAGAAGACAACTGAAGCCACCTCTGGAACACTCTACATCCAGATGTACCGATGGGACAGCTTCATCCCTCTCAAGACATGGAACGTTACATACAAGGTGAAATATAAGTATCCATCAACAATTATATCGTTAATTGTGTCAACATTTTACGACATCTACAAATTTATACTTAATGGCACAGATTAACACCACATTACTTTTTTATTAATATTATTTTGATGGAACTAGCAATAACTGATTACAATAAATACGTGTAGTAATGGTCCCGTGAAGATTCCGGGTAAGAACATGTCTTCAGAGGCGACTAACGGGATCGGGCTGATGCATGCTATCGTATCCCAAATGCGTAGATCGATGCTCATGATGTCAATCACTGGATTGTCTGGTCCAGATTCGATTATTTACAGACCACCGTCATATAGCTGTAATATTGCTTAATATTTTTATTTTGAATATGACAGTGTATTTTGGTTTCAGGCGACACAATCATCCCTGTCAGTTTTCAAGCAAGATATTGACTCTCTGGTGAGGGAGTCCGGTTGTCCAGGCAGGTCCAGCTGTTTTGTCTACATGTGTCTGAATGAGCTAGATAGTGGCATCAACGCATACCTCCCCCTCACATACTACAACAACGTCACTGGACTCAACAAACCTGAAGTTAAGGTATGTTGTAGGGATTCTTTTCAGAAAAGAATTCCGGATGGTCCCTGCCATACTCATATTAAGCGCCATACTCATGCCTGTTTCTTCCACGTGAAATGCAGATCTGTGTCATTTTGGGAATTTACTCTTACATCAATTGTTTATTTGTTTGTTTGTTTGCATTAATCCTTGTACGTTTATTGTTTAACGCCGCACTCAGCAATATTCCAACTATATGGCGGCAGTCTGAAAATAGTCACGTTTGGATCAGACAATCAAGGGATTGACATCACGAGCATCGATCCACACAAAAGGGATACGATGACATGCATCAACGAAGTCAGCAAACCTGACCACCCGTTTCCGTTAGTCGCCGCTTCCAACAAGCATTGGTTGCTGATGACCCTATTTTAAAGCAATTGTACCCCGGATCTGCACGTGGCTCATACATAAAGCCTTGGTCCAGAGTGGATAAAAAGTGGTCCATAATAAAGGCTTTAAAATTAGAAAAAAAGCGACAAAATCCTTAATCATAAAAAAATCCATTGTAGCGATCCAATTATATTATAAGCATGTGTTTATGAATCACTGTCAAAATGCAGAATCACTGGCACCCGTCCTTAACAAGTCAAGTGTTCGCCTAAACAAACGTGGGTTCATATGGTACTAGTTAAAATAGGAATTTCTTCTTGTCATTGATGCGTCGAGTTTGTCCTCCACATGTTTACCATGAACCTTTTTGAAAGCTTTACTTAGATACCACCGAAGATGCTTCTGGTAAAATAATGTGTAATGTGTAAAATAAATAGAAAACAAAACCGTTACCAAAATTCACATAATACCCATGTACAGTAAACTACGGTTATAACGAACATGCTTATAACGAACTGACGGATATAACGAACTTACTTTTTTGGTCCCGACTATTTGCTGTAGTTATGCTGTATATATACTTATAACGAACTACGGTTATAACGAACTAAAATTAGTAGTCCCCTTGAGTTCGTTATAACCGTACTTTACTGTCCTTATCTTTCACCATTAAGTTTTTTAAGCAGTAGTATTGTTTTTACAAGGTATTTCTTTCGCAATTATCTCACAGGTAACTGGTGTTACAAAGATATCCGACGTAGAGTTTGCAGTCACTGTTGGTTCTCCTGGCATCGCTCCATTTGTTTGGTTGGATGCACTCGGCATCCCCGGCAGATTCTCTGACAATGGATTCCTTATGATGGCGCCTTCTCGGACGGTGACCTTCACCTCTTGGGACCCTGTTGATCTGAACACTGTGAAACAATCATTGAAAACAAAATCTTTGATGGATGTTTATGTTTAATAACGTTTCAAGAAAGTATTATTTTAGTATTAATTATTCAACAAAGTTCAAAACTTTTACGAGAAGATTTTCATTAAAATAGATAAAATATATCAAATTATTTTGATATTTTCTTGTTTATGGTTGCAATGGTTTAGGTTAATGGTTTAGATGTAGATTGGGTTTATCAGAATTCATGATCAATAAAGCTTGAAAAATATGTACCAATAAAAATGAGAGAACATGTATGTTATGTAAAAAAGATATACAGTATATAATTCACTTTATCTTTACGTGTCAACTTTTATGTGATTTGAGTGTTCAAATATATATATACCCAAAATGTATTTTTTAAACCACCAGAAATTGCAGTCCCTTCTTTTATGACCTCTAGAAATGATACCGATATTCTATACTTGTCCCTTTATTTAAAGCATGCAACAATCTTGAAAAATAACATCTTGAAAAAAAATGTATATCTAAACTGATGTAATACTGCATGTAGCGTGTATTTGTGTAATGTGCTGTATATTTTTTTGGCTGTGTAATGAACTGTTTTCTGTTTTCAATATTTTTCTTCTTCTTCTTCTTCTTCTTCAATGTAACAAACATTTGTATGTCCGAAAGAATACATTTTGAACTCTTTCTTTGACTTTTTTTTATCAATATTCTCCTTCTTCAATGCAAAACACATTTGAATGTCCGAAAGAATACAGTTTGAACTGTTATCCTTTACTAATTCATCAATATTCTCTTTCTTCAATGTAAAAAACCATCTGTATGTCCAAAAGAATACATTATGAACTGGTTTCATCAACATGGCCTAACTTGTGACATGGTATTGCTTAATCGGCCAAGGTCATTAAAATCGAGCCAGCTGACAATGACATTTTATGTTTGGTGTCCTGAATCAAATTTCAACCGACAGCATATTTGCTGAATTTATTTTCTGTTGATTTGTTTGTTTGTTTGTAACGTCGCACTCAGCAATATTCCAGCTATATGACGGCGGTCTGTAAAAAATCGAGTCTGGACCAGACAATCCAGTGACATCATGAGCATCGATCTACGCAATTGGGATACGATGACATGCACCAACCAACTCATGCTCAGCGAGCCTGACCACCCGATCGCGTTAGTCGCCTCTTACGACTGTTACGGCAAGCATGGGTTGCTGAAGACGTATTCTGACACGGATCTTCACGGGTACTTGTCCACCTTGACATACTTTGATTAGGTCGGACACAGTTGTCTGATAACGTTTCTTCTGTTGAACTAGATAACATTTGATCACAGTCTAGCCCGATTATTGTGAGCCGATCGTGTTATCACACACACTCAAAATGTCCGTGGATGTCAGTTGTCTGTTGCTCTCTGTCTGCGTGACTGTCTGTGTGTCCGTCAAGGTTGATCTGACAGGAAACTGGACACTCAGCGATGCTGCTGGGGGTGAGAGAAACAATTGTGAATATTGACATGACATGCTCTCATCTCCATCCTTTTTACTTTGTTGTTTAACGCCAAACTCCATATGAGACGGCGGTCTGTAAATAAACGAGTTTGAAGCAGACAATCCAGTGATTGACACCATGAGCATCGATCTACGCAACATGTCAGCGAGCCTCACCACCCAATAGATCGGGAGTGTGATAACGCACCCTCAGTCTTCTAGTCTCCATCCTTTTTGCCCACTACTTATAATGGCTAAAGAAAGCATTAATCACACTTTCATGACAAAGGTTCGTAACGTCCTTCCCACAAGAGGACACGCCCGGACATTTCTACAGTACTATACATTGTAGCTCAGTTGGGCAGACCAATGATTAAGGAGGCCGCCATCGACATTAAACAGGAAGACATTGTTTCAGAAAGTGCTGCTTTTCTTCAAAATGGTTTCACAAAACGTGGAAAACACAAATTCCAAAGCTTACAGACGTTTTAATTTGACAGAAAAGACACTTAAAAAGGTTCAGAAAAGATAGAATTTAGAAACGATTGCTCCTATGTGATACGGACAAGAAGAATTGTCTAGTCTGTGCCATTATGGAGGCTATTAATCGTAACCACAGACAGACTCGCACAGTACGATGATTTTCTTTGGTGATATTGCTGTCCAATTAACCAGACCATATAGCCCGGTGAGCAAGTTAGCCGAGTACATTGGTATCTATAAAGTATCTATAGACAAGTAGATAACATAGGTCTCCCTCTACGGTCGAACATGGTGTACACAACATGATTGACGA